TTCTGAGGTTTTCTCCCCGGCCTTGCAGATGTTCAGTGTGCTTAGGGGAGTACGAAGCCGACGAGCGTCTTCAACAAATGCCAAAATGCGGGCACACGTTTCACATGGATTGCATTGACCACTGGCTGTCCACCCGCACCACATGCCCACTGTGTCGCCGTTCCCTCCTCCTTTCTCCCGTCCAGTCTTCTTCTGTCAACCCAACCCAAAACGCCACATCTCTTCAAAGCGACCTGACCTAACGGCCGTCTCTCACCCTGCTTCAACCTGAAGTGAGAAAAGAGTCAATGAAGTCCTTAGCCAATAAGAGCTGGGAGATGTTTGAACTTGCAGGGACATGTGTTTTAATTGTCCAATTGAGAGAGATATATGCTACTCTAGACACGGTTAAGTAGAACTAGAGCTGGTAGAGCCTGAGTATGTAGTTACCAAATGTTAATCAATTGAGTGTGTATTGTAAAAGGACCCTTACTTTGTTGGTCCAATCCATTTTACTGATGTAAGATTTTGTATCAGTTTAATAAACAAAAGCGCTTCTCTTCTAGGGTTGCTTGTATGTATATTTTTACTATTGCATTGCCAGAGAACTTGCCAGCCCATGTTATATAAATAAATAGTGTTTTTCTATAAATTCATTTGTTGTACTCCGTCTTTGTTTCCAAATAATGATTGTTGTACGGAATCCAAATATGAAGTACTATAACTTTTCAGTCCAACCGATCGAAATGGTCCACTTGAAGAGGTCATGTATTATTTTTCTCATGGAAACTCTAAAAATGATCATATTGAGCACATTACTAAGAGAATTAATTATGCTCATTGTTTTTTGGTAGACTGTGTTGGTCATCGAGGGGTTTAGCTTTAGTTTGGGGTGATTAGGTACAGGTGGATATTGTTGACTCGTCCCCTCATTTTGTTGATGCCCATGTTTGTCTGGCGGTTGGTGCTCAAGTTTGGTGTTTCAGTGGCTGCTATGGGTGTCTGTAGAGGAAGAGAAGGAAAGTATCTTGGATTATTCTCAGAAATTTGAGCTTTTGGTCGGCGTTGTCTTGGTTTGTCATTGGAAACGTTAATGACATTTTATGCTCGGTCGAGAAGAGAGATTCTGTCCCTCATCCGCATTGGCTTATTCGGAGATTTAGGGAGACTGTTGGGCTGGTAGTTTGATCAATCTGCCTTTTTACAGGTACCAGTTCATGTGGGAATGTTGGAGAGGAAGTTCACAGGGGAATGTTGGAGAGGAAAACCAAGGTGGGTTGAGGAGAAGTTAGACCGTTTTATGGTTTTTAGAATTTCGCTAGATTTGTCAAAGGGGCTCATGCAGTATCACTAGAGGAGGCTGCGAGCGATCATCTCCCACTCTATGCTTCATTTCTGCCGACTTATCGGACACATCGGAGGAGAAGGTTTAAGTTTGAAGACATGTGACTTCTGGATGAAGATTGTGATGAGGTTACTGAGAGAGCTTGGGTAGTTGGCAGAGGATTGGGGATGATGAGGCGGACTGAGTACTGCGCATTGGAGGTGGGATGTTGGGGTGGTGGTAGACATGTTAGCTTTAAAAGGAAATTTGACTATTGTAGCAGGCGATTACAATGTCTTCGCAACAGATATGATAGGAGGAGCCTTGATGAGTTTTGCAAGATAAAAGAATATTACCTAGTTCTTCTTGAAAAGCAGAATATTTTTTGGAGCCAGTGCGCCAAAGCATTTTCGCATAAAGGGGCGATGTGAATTCCATCTTTCATCATCATCATCATTTACCTAGTGCCACAAAGGCTCCCACCTACGGTGGGGCAAGGGAGTCGGATGTACGCAGTCTTACCCATGTACTAAAACACAGAGAGACTGTATCTGGATGACCCATAGTGAAAATCGCGTCCAAAATTGCATACACTAAAGGGGCGATGCGAATTCCATATATTTTCATAATTTGGTGAAGCAGAGATAAAGGAGCAATAAAATTGTGGGTCTTCAGGCGGATGGGAATCGGTGGGTGACCAGATGAGAGGAAGTGGGGGAGATTATTGGTGACTATTTCTCCAAGATTTTTTATTGATGATATTTTACAGGAGGTGGCCCTAAAGCTAGATGTGAAAAAAATCAGTTGCTTCTTCACCCAGTGTTTTTTGATGAAGTAAGAAATACCTTATTTTCTATGCACCCGAGTAAATTTCCCAGGTCGGGATGATTTTAGTCTTTAGTTTTATCATCCCTTATAGAATATTGTGGTCCCAGGTATTGTGCAGTTTTTTCATACTCACCTTGTCCGTATTCCAAAAAAGAACAAATCTGAATCAATGATGGATTAGATACTGACTGCCCTTTGCAATGTCATATATAAGATCATCTCCAAGGTGTTGGCGAATAGATTAAAGCCTCTTCTGGATGGGTTATTATTGAAGAATCAAAGTGTGTGTCCAAGGAAGAGACAAGGGAAAATAGGGTATGCGGCTCTCAAACTATATATCAGTAAAGTCTATGACCGAGTTGAGTGGCTCTTTCTTGATAGGATGTTGGGGTTGTTTGGTTTTCATGAGAGGTGGATAGCTTTAATCATGTAATGTGTAAGGACTGTTACATATTTAATTCCTTTTGAAGTAGATGAGTTGGCCTGACTATTCCTATACGAGGTTTGAGACAAGGAGATCCTCTTTCTCCGTATCTTTTTATTCTTGTTGAGGAAAGATTAAGTTGTATGTTGAAGTGGCTAGAGGTGAATGGAAAAAAATTCATGGAATAGCGATTGCTAGAGGAGCACCTAGGGTGTCCCACCTTCTCTTCGCGGATGATAGTTTCTTGTTTTTTCAAGCCACACATGCAGAGGGGTCTGTTGTGCGAGCAGTCCCGGAAGATTATGCCTTTGTTTCTGGGCACGTACTTAATTATTTGAAATCAACTATTAACTTTACTTCGAATACTAGTGCAGGTGTTCTCAGTCCGTCCTGCTAATCAAGGAAGCGTTTATCTTAACCTACCTGCTCTTGTAGTCAAGGAAGCATTTATCTCAGTTAGTGGGCTAGTCAAGGTATACGGGATAGGGTAGTTTTTTCCGTATTCAAGATTGGAATGGCAGATTTTTATTCAGGGCAGGGCACGAAGTTTTACTTAAAACTGTCATTCAAGCTTTACCAAATTATGCCATGAACGTCTTATTACTGTCGAAGGAGTAGGCATGGCAATGGGTCGGGGCGGGGCAAGTAGTGCAAGACCCGGACCCGCCCAGTGACTTTACTAAGTGGACTCATCCCGTCCCGTGACCCGTACGGGTCAACACTTGTTGGCCCATGACTCGCCCCATGCATGGCGGGTCCGCTCCACCCAGCCGTAACTTAATTACCTGGTGTGCATTTCCATTTGTGTGAAGTCGTTACCACTTGAATTTACGTAAAGTTTTAGTCTAAATAGTTATTTAAAAATCAATATATTAAATCAAAGTCACAATACGCTAAAAATTTCAAAACGTAAGGAAAAAGTACCTAGACTTGAATAATTACTTTTAAAAAAATGCATAATTATTTTATATATATATTAATAATTGAATATATAAAATGCTAAATATAGAAAGACATTGACAATTTGACGTTCATCTCATTCAAATATTAATATTATGTAGTAATATATTATAATCTTGGATGGACTAGAGTTTGGAATTTATATATTCCACCAAGTCATAAAAATTTCTGGAAAATATTTACATGTAACATTCCAACAGTGGACAAACTAAGGGAGCGGAGGGTTGACATGTCAAACCAGGGTGTTTTTTGCTATGGGGAGTCAAAATCTTGTGCACACATGTTTGTTACGTGCAACCTGGTAACTAGATTGTGGAAGAGAGTGGGATGGTTTGAGCACAGTGAAACTTGGAGGATTTTTATGGAGTGGACAGAAAGATTCTTCTCTTTTAAATTTGTGATGTACTGTTGGAGTTTAAAGCAGGGCCGGAATAGATGGATTTGGCATGTCGGAAGCTTGTGGAGTGGATCAGATCATTGTTGTGGCGAGGTCTGTTTTATTTGAGTGGCAAGCAACACAAGAGCAAGGCAGTGAGAGTTCAAACTGGGTTGGAAGGACTGTAGAGTTATGGGGGGGAACCTGTGGAGGGCCAAATGAAGGTAAATGTTGATGCGGCTACTTGGATGGATGTAAGACGAGGACTAGCATGGGTGGTGAGGGATGCGATTGGTCAGTTTGTGACAGCAAGTGCTCGACCTTGGGAGTGGAATATTTCACCGAAGGAAGCAGAGATTCTAGGGATCCCAGGAGGTGTTTTGCTGGCTGAAGGAGAATCGTTGGGATTTTCTTGACATCGGGATTGATGCTTCTCAAGTTTTTTCTGCTATTTACAACGGAGGTTATGTTGCTCAATTTGGTTTAATAGTGGAAGATGTTAGAGATTAAATGGAGAATTTTAACAACATTTCTATTGCTTTTGTGCGGCCATATGCAAATCATGTTATTCGCAATCTTGCTCAAGCAATCACCTCTTTAAGCCATGACTTCACTAATAATAATTAAATCCCCGTTGTGCAAAAAATATATAAAAGAAATATCATAATAGTAAATGTAATAAGTAGTATTAAATAAAAGTCATGTATAAATGATATGATAACTGACAAGTCTAGTCATGGACCCGGGCCGGGTCGGGCCCGGGCCTAGCCGCCTAGGCCCGGTCGGGCCTCGGGTTTTTTTGAAGGAGGCCCGGGACCGGCCCGGGTAGCCACCAGGTCCGGGCCAAGCCTCGGGTCAATTTTTTTTCCTTTTTCCTAATTAACACCCCCCACCCCCACCCCCAACCCCCCAAACCACCCCAAGTGACCCGAGCCCACACCGGGAACCCCCCGGGCCGGGCCTACCCGAACCGGTCACTGGCTGGGCCGCCGGGCCGGTCCGGTTCAGCACAGTACCGGTCCCGGACCGGTTCCGGGTCAGGCCACCCGGCCCGAGTCCAAGACTGGATAAGTCACTATTGGAAAACCATAAAATAAGACATTTTGGTCTTTTGAATTTATTTTAGTAATATTCATTAAAAGGTCATTTTCTAGATATATCATCTATGTACATAAACAACTAAGGAGCGTATGCAAATTGTGCAAACAACTAGGGAGCGTATGCAAAACGTGTAGAATGTACGTGTAGAAACAAGGAAGCGAATTGATAGAAAAGAAAAACACTACATGGAACTGTTATAGTGCAGAACAATTATGGAAGCGAATTGGTAAAGTACAGTTCCATATTCTGCACTATCAATTCGCTTCCAACTTCTCCTTCACCAGTTGGATGAACAGTGGGATGTCAAGACCTGACAGAGTTCAGTTTGAACAAATGTAGAAACTGATGACTCCCCTGCAGCAAGTGAATCTCTTCATGGACAATTATGGAACTGATGGTAGCTAGTTTTTTTTTAAGGAAGCGAATTGATAGTGCAGAACAATTATGGAACTGTACTTTACCAACCACCATAGTGCAGAACGATGTCCCAATCTTCATAATAACACATGTATGCATAGTCAATATAATTCTATTACTCCGTTCCTTGCCTCCATGGCTCCATTACATGTTGCACTACATACCTCAAGTCATTGCCTCAGAATCTAGAAAGACAGGTAACAAAATAAATATTTTTTGAAGTATATCCCTAAAGAGGGCACGGCAGCAGCTCGCAGAGTGTAACAATGAGCATGAAATTGTGTACTGCCATAGTGCCATCAATATTACTTCACGTACAATATCTTGTCATAAATAGATCCAGATATTACAGAGGTGAGCAACATCAATAAGTAAAGAATGAAATAGCTGATAACGTGTACTGCAACAATGGAGCTTCTAATTCCGGATGTGTTGTCATGCAGACAATGAAAAACCGTCTTCAAGGCATTGTGTTTTTGCATCTTGCATGACACGCTTCAGTACAGATGGGTTGCTAGTGATGATAGCATCCACACGTTCAATTAACATTTTCTTCATCGACTCTTCATTGTCAACTGTCCATGCATACACCTTTTTGTTTCTCCTGTCATTTAATTCGAAGTATTGGAGGGTGGGAGCTCAAGGTTAGGAGCATGTGAACTATCCAACACAACATAATTGTTGTTATGTACAGAGGAATTGGTAATAAAAGTATCATTCCATCTTCCCAGAATAAACTTCACTATGTTTTTACTGTTTTGCAATAAATTTTAGAGAAAAGGGTCAAATAGACACTTCTACTATTTCCAATAAATTTTAGGGAAAAGGGCCAAAAAAAGAGTTTCATGTACCCTTACTTTAAAAATACAATCAATTAAGTTTTTTTATAAAATGTAGGACAACTGATACATCTTATAAAAATTCATATAGTTTTGAGAAATATTGTAGTACAACAAAATTACCCTAGTGCCGGCTACGGTGGGGTAAGGGGGTCAGATGTATGCAACCTTACCCCAGCACAAAGATACTGTTTACGGATGACCCGTGATGAAAATCGCGTCGAAAATTGCATGGACTAACTTACTGACCGTTGCTTCATAACAAGTGATGACAGTTTAGTGAGGGAAAATTGCCCTAAGGAGTAAAAACGCTTGTGTATTCCAATTTCCAAAAACGGACTTCCATGTTTTTATTTCCTATATAGGAGTAATTACTGCTATGTTTTGACAATATCAAACTTCAAACACGACAGTATTTTCCAAACTTGGTAATAATACCTCCTATTTGGGAAACAAAACATGAGTCCTGTTTTGGAATTTCCAAATGTTTTGACTCCTACTTCTGGAATTTTCCCATTATTGAACCATTTTGCTTTTTTTTCCATCATATTCCAAAGCCAAAAAATAGCGAGTCTTTTGGCTTCATTGGAAATGATGAAAAATGAGAAATAATGTAATAATAAGACGTAGCATAAAAATAGTATAAACCTAACAACCTAACAGGAGATAAGTAATTTAAAAAAGTTAAAAGGAAAAAATAAAATCAGGAGAACGGAAAAAATATAGTGAAAATATAAAAAATATAAAATTATAAATGTAAAAACCTTCTAAATAGATGTAGAATATATAAATGATTCCAAAACCAAAAAATGTTGACTTTGACATGATGCAATTTTTTGAAATCTGTATCTATATTTCTTTGAATTTTAACAATTTTTAGAGTTTATAAAAAATAAAAACTCTGCTATTACAGCCTTTACCGATCAAAAACTTATTAAATGGCCGCATATATCAATTTTTTAAAGTAAGCATACTTATATGATACTACCTCTGTCCCAAAAAACGCTGTCATTAGACCCTCGTACTAAAGCGAAAATGGCGATTAGGCCCTTGATCAATTTAGTGTTTTAGCAGGTAGGCTTGAGGTTCCCGGTTAAAAGCCCACATGTCCTATTTTGGGAATTTTCCCTAAGATCTCTAAAAAAATTATAAAGTCCATATGTCCCACAAAAAAGTCTTGTTTCAAGAACTTTTTTTCATCCCAAAAAGTGCATGTTTTACAAGTAAATTTTAATTTTTTATTACAACTACTACAAGCCAAGCGGCAAAAGTTTTTAGTAATTACTTCAAACAATCTTGGGAATAGGTTTTAGGAGTATAAAAGGTCATTCCTCACTTTTAAAATATTATAACTTGAACTAAAAATAAAATACTTTTATCTTGCTAAAGTAGTACTACGGTACTACCTTTTTTTGGACGAGTATAAAATTTCAACCACACAATTTCATTTCATTAAAAGCAACAAGAGAAAATGTAGAACAAATTTTACCAAGTAGATGGTCATACTGGACTACTAGTATCTGAGAATGAGAAGTGGGTTCCCTTTTCGACAGTGGAAGATCTTTGGGATTCAGATGCAAATGAGGTTATTTGTCAAAAAGCGTTATTGGTCACGCGAGAAAATTCTCTGCCTACTCGGAATTTGAACACCCAAAAAAGAATTTACACAAAAAAGAATCAACGGTCGCATCTTATGAGAACTGGATCTCAAACACGAGAAGAGTTATGAAGATTTAGCTTAGAGTTGAAAATCAGTTTGGGAGGGCTTTCTTAATAATCTGATATGCTATGGGTTGGGTATTATTTTTAGTTTTTAGTTTCTAAGTTTAATTTGTTTCCTTTTTTCCTTTTTTCCCTTTTTTATCTTTTCCATGTGCTTTCCATTTCTCATTTAATATAGTTTCTTTTCACTATTAAAAAAAAACTAGTATCATTGTCTCACTGTAAGATGGTCATATGGGAAGTTTTTCTGTACAAAATGATGCAGTATGAGGTTGTGTTAGAGATCATACGCATGCAGGACTTTAACAAGCTTCTCATCAATTAAAGGATGGTAGTCGCCGACCACCCACGCACCTCTCATCCTCAGTAATTGTGTTCTAGTTCCTGTTGAAGGGTCCATCATGACAATGTAACCTACCTGTAATGAACCCACAATGAATGTACAGAGATAGATTAGCCACAATAGAAGGGAAAGAGCTTTAATGAGATAGGAGCACCTGTTCACTCAGTATTCCGGCCACCAAAGCACCATCATTGGTACACTTAGTAGGCCCTGAATTTATCTAAGTAGGTCCCTAGTTAGAGAATTTATCTCACAAAATACACAAATATAGAGAAAAACAGAACAATCTGCTGTACCGTGGCATCTGGTGCAAGTCTAAGCACATCTCTTGGAATATTGTCACTTTTGGCCCATACAACACAATTCTTGCACCCTAACTTTGTATACTACAAAAGGTTCACAAAGAGACCATGCAACACATATAAAACATATTTGGAGTTGACTTAGCTTAAAATTTCGAGTGTTATACTGATGAATGCAGGTGCGTTTAATAACTGAACAAGGCATGTTTTAGTCATTTCTATAGTAACACAGTAGGTGTAGAAGAATTTTAGATATTTATAATGCGCTCATTGACATCAAACTCTTTTGGGACTAAGGCTTGGATGTTGTTGTGGTATTATGTGCTCATTGACATCCTAAAGTCAATTCAAAGACATATAATTAGAGATCTAGCTTCGCTGGTCTTGCTTCACTTGTTCTGCATGTACTTCCTCGGTCCCAAATTATAACGTATAATGGGTATTTCGGATTACGATGTTGAACTGAAGTTAAAGCTAATTCTCCCGTGATAATATTTACTTTGTCATTTGTAATTAAAAGTTATATACTCTCAGTACCAGTTTGATGGCTCCATTTTGAATTTCCTAAGTCATGCTTCAGTAAAGTTCAACAATTAACTTCTGATAAACTGTTTATACTATAATATGAAAGTACTCTCGGCCAATTTGTCTTCATAGAAAAAGCAACAATTAATGTAAACTGAAACTGCAAAAAATGAATTTAATTATGCTAGCAATTTAACATAGAAAATAAAAGAGTTCAAGAGATTTGGATCGATCATATGAATAGTTAACATGGGACATAGGGAGTAGTAGTACTTACAGAGCTAAACCATGTACTGCAGTATATGCAATATAAATAATAAAGAAGTGCGGCAAACTTACAGAAGAAACAACATTGCCAGCAAGTCCTTTTTCGTATAAAGGAGGGCCAACTTTTACATCTAGAATTACTTCCCGTACTGAACCTGATATAAACTGGATAGATTCAAAAATATAAAAACCAGTGAACATTACAATTAATGAAAGATATAAAAAAAACCTAATAAATACATTTCATGCATGTGCCAAGTTCTGCTATGACAAAGATTTGAAGTGAAATGAAACACTAATGGTTGGTGCCTGTTGGTTCAATGCAATGGATTGCTGGGGCTCGCCCTTTCCATTCTAAAGCAGAGACTAAAGGCTATGTCAACACCCAGAAAGTGGTAGCAGAAGGTAGGAAAGCCAAAGAAAAATAGGTTTTCAATGTTAGGTTTCACCTTGGTTAGGCGAAGGCAAATCAAAATTGAACAAAGTACTTAACTTTTCCATATTTTAGATTCCTTAATCTCTGTATAATAGAAATATACTACGTATAAAGGATAGGCTTTAACAAATATCTGAAATTGATTTATTCAGTTCAAACAAAACTTACTTTTCCCCTTTTATTTCCTCCTTATTACCTTAAACCTAACATTTTCTGCACTCCAAACAGAACTAAAATGAAGAGAAAAACTGAAACAGAAAGAATAATGTAATTCATTCTGTATAAACCCCATAGAAGGAAGGGCATTAGAAATAAAACTAAAGAAGTAGGTGAGATACCATCAATATATCTTCAATTGTAGGAACTCCAAGATCATGATACTTCTGTTGAAGCTCAAAACTTGGTACAAGCTCTTTAATCTACAACCAGAAACTAAATATGATCTTATTCCATGTCACTTTCATAATTCATAGCAAACTAGTCAGAGTAAGAAAAAATGGATGCTCAAAGGATGGGAAGTATGCCTTAATCTTTGTTGCCCGTGCATCAATCAACTCTAGACTCGTGACAAAATCAGAAAACATACAAATTTAGTATGCGAAATGCATGACTTTCAATGTCTACTTTTGGAAAGGTTCATCATAATTAGCTTGTAATTGTATACTACAAATGTTAATATCAATCATGATATTTTCCATAACAGTGGAAATAATATATGATGTCGACAGCTTTAGAACATTAAAACTTTCTCTGATTTTTCATTCTTAAGAGATGAGTATAAGTGCCTATGCAAGTAGAGAGAGAGAGAAGCTCATCATAGGTGGCGGCCTCAGGCCCTCAACACGTGCCCGAGTTGTGATAGCTTTGAAAGTGTCCATAGCAGACGTGATTTTGGCACTATAAATGAAGCAAGAAGAACAATTTAAAATTTGCCGCGATATATGAGTTGACTATTATGAACGCTAAGTTCAAGAAAAGTGACTCTCACTTTACAACATATGGAAGTGGAGAAAAGAGTGCCCAAATTCACTACTTAGTATGGACTAAGTGGAGAACTAGCTACAAGGATCCCTGGTGAAAATGTAGTCACTCAACACAGGAAACTAGTGCTTGAATTTCGAGGAAAAGAGCATAAAATGCAGGTTAAGTAATGAATGAAGTCAAAGATAAAGTGGTTGAAGTTGAGGAGGATCTCCAACAAAGCTTCGAACATAGGATGCTTGGTGAATATGTATGGGGTATTGATAATAATGCAAATGAGGGGAACATGTGTTCATAAATGAAGCAGATCATTAACAACAACAACAATACCCCAATGCTGCAAAGGATCCCACCTACGGTCGGGTAAAGGGGGTCGGATGTATACATCCTTACCCGGTACTAAAACACACAGACTGTTTTTGGATGACACATGATGAAAATCGCGTCGAAATTTGCATCGAATATTTGTTGCTTCATATTCTCTAGCTAAAAAATAGTGAGTCTTTGGCTCCATTGGAAATGATGGAAAAGAAGCAAACCATTAACAAAGTGCCAAAAAAGAGATACTTGAAGGATGTTTGCCACCAAAAAAGAACACATCTTAATGAAATGAGGAAGTGAAACAAATCATAATAAACCAAAGGAAATGCTACAAAAATCTAGAGAAGAGAAGAAAAAGATAAGCGAGCAATGAAGGAAGCGAGAGAGAAAGTGAACAAGGTGTTCAGTGTTCTATGAAAAATTGGATTCAAAACAACAACATTACCCCAGTGCCGCAAAGGCTCCCACTTACGGTGGGATAGGGGGTCGAATGTAAACAGCTTTACCCAATACCCATGTACTAACGCGCAGAGACATTATTCCCGGATGACCCGGGATAAAAAATTGTGTCGAAAATTGCATGGACTGACTGCTGCTTCATAATAAAGAAGCATAGACAGTTTAGTGAGCCATTTTTCTTTATTCAATCATATTCTCAGGCAAAAAAATAGTGAGTCTTTGGCTCCATTGGAAAAAATTGAATTCAAAAGGAGAAAAATATATTTAGACACGCTCGTCTTTGAGATCTTAGTACTCAATATATAGGTAAAGTTAGGTGTGTGAAGGAGGTTGATCAACAGGGTATTTTAATGGAATATGAGGAAATAAAAGAGATGTGAAGATCTCACTTTAATACATTGTTCAATGGGAATCAAACGTAAGATATTGGTAATCTTACTAATCAGATTGTGTGGTAAATCAGGGTTTTGTGAGCAGGGTCCAAAAGAGAAAGGTAAAAGAGGCTTTAAGAAAGATGGAGCGGAAGAAAGTGGGGTCCATATTGCATACCGATTTGGATAAACAATAAAATGTTGATGAGTTGGCGAAAGAGAATTTGTACCTCCTTATTCATGAGTCGTACCATGAAAGTTTGAGAGAGAGTGATTGAGTAAAGGCTACGAAAAAGTGTGAAGAATTAAAAGACGTAAAAAGATTTGAAGGACCTCCATTTGGTGTGGTCGATGTATGCCAACTAAACTGAATGGGAAGTTTTATTGAAAAATAATTAGGCTTGTGTTATTGTATGGCATAGAATGTTAAGCCTTGAAACAATGGCTTACTCAAAGGATGAGTGTGGATCACATACACATGTTGCGGTATACTAGGATAGACCTCTTGATGAATGAGATAGTTAGGCGAAAAATGGAAGTAATACATCCATAAGTGGGCAAAAATAAGGTGTGTGGGTTGCTATTGTGATTATTTGACCATGTGTGTAGAAGACTGGGTGGTGCACATGTTAAATGAAATGAAATGTGGGGAGAGGAGGGGGGAGAGAGGAGAGGAAGGAGACAACCTAGACAGACAAGGATCATAGTGATAAAAAATGAAATGATATGATACTACTTGGGTTAAATGAGATTACAACTTTAGAGAGGGCGACGTGCAAGAAGAGAGTATGCTTGTGGGGGTCTGGGGGATTGATCTTATATTGTTTTTCTTCATCTTTCTGTACTTTTATTTAACTCTGTATTATATGTCAATTCATGTTGTAATATTGATATATGCCGACCCCAAACTCTTTCGGGAATAGGCTTGGATATTGTTCTTGTAAGAAGGTTGCAAGAGGAAAGGAGCGTAAAACATTTCCATATTCTTTTTTGCATGAATCTAAAGTGTTAAGTAATTTTAAACACTTGGTTATTAAATTTATAAATCTAATGCCAGCACCCAACTAGTTGGGGTTAAGGTGCTAATATGCTGATGGTGAAAATTCAAATGTGCCTTTGGCAAACTGAAAGCAGATGCCCAAGGCAACTAAACAAAAAAGGCAATGATAAATTCTCAAATGGAAGCAAATAGTGGTGAGCACAGCTTAGATCCCACCTCTCTTGAGCTTAAGTACCCAGCCTTGAATGTGTCATTCCCAGATATTTGCTGCAAATCCCTGCCTGCACAACGTCAAAATCAATTTTCCAGAAAATCTAAGAAACAAATATTAACAACAGCTTATTATTTGCAAGCATGCGAAATGAAAATTATACATATTTTGTGAGACAAAATCACATACCTGTCATGAAGAGCAAACAGAACTCCATCAGATGAACGAGAAACATCAACTTCAATACAGTCCACCTGAGAGTGTAGAGCAGTCTTGTATGCAGTTATCTGTCAAAAGAAGAATGTAAGAGTCACCAAAAGCTCATCATGGAGTACAACAATAGCGGCTGTGTGGCCGTCATTGTGACATATGAGAAATTATCCTTCTATTCCTTGAAGTGGTAAGAATTAAAGAAGCAAAGGCATGTCCTATCTTACAAGAATTCACATCTTATGGAATAATAGTTATTCTATGTAGCTTTATGGAATAGAGTTGTTGAAATCATAAACCCTTGCTTATTGGGCCCAGCCCACTTTATGTAGTCAGCCCTAGATGTACCCTAGTTATAGCTATAAATAAATATTGTTGTAATCTTTACTATGCAGTACATTGCTCATTTTGACTCATGACCAATTGAATGTAAGCCTTTAGTTTTTCCAATAAGAACATTTTAGTAAAGAAAAACCGACAATAATAATCCCATCTTTGACCGGTCTTCTCATAATAATACCACATTTTACATAATCCCAGAATAATCTTACATTTGCACATCATCTTCTTTATGTAGTCAGCCCTAGATGTACCCTAGTTATAGCTATAAATAAATATTGTTGTAATCTTTACTATGCAGTACATTGCTCATTTTGACTCATGACCAATTGAATGTAAGCCTTTAGTTTTCCCAATAAGATCATTTTAGTAAGGAAAAACCGACAATAATAATCCCACCTTTGACCGGTCTTCTCATAATAATACCACATTTTACATAATCCCAGAATAATCTCACCTTTGCACATCATCTTCTTTCGTTGAACCCTAACTGCTTGATGACCTACTATACCAAGTTTTTTGCCTTTTCTTTGGAAACCTTATATAAATAATCCCACTTTTCACAAATCTGCTCAAAACAGTCTCACGTTTCATTTTTTCTTTCTTTTCTTCATCTTCTTATTATTTCATTTCTTTAATTTGTTTATGTTTTTGCTTTCCTTTTTCTCAATAGTTTTTTCTTTCTTCTCCTTCCCCATTTTTACCTTTTCCCTTTTTATGTATTACTATACGGTTAATTTTCTTTTAAAGACTATTCTCCCACATTACTCGTTTTTATTTACTCGTTATTTATTTCAATTTTTGTTCTTTAAATTCTCCTTTAAAGCTTCTACTCCTCTTCATGTAAATATATGTAGTTTTTCTCTCTTAAATTTTAAATTTCTCACATCACTATTTCTTGTTTTATTTTTATTTAAGTTTTATTTTTTCCTAATCTTTTTATCACAAATATTTTTCCCATAGTTGATGAAATTTATAAGTGAACTTACTTAGAAAAATACGATATGCAGAACGGAGAAAAAATATATTGATGGTGGAATTCGGGTCACAAGAAGAAAGAAAAGAAGAAAAAACACAAAAAAAAAGTAATAAGAAGAAAAAGGGGGGAAAGTGAAAATAAAAAGAAATCATAACAAAAAATAAAGTGGGAAAAAGATCTTTAATAAAAAGAGAATGATTAAGAAGAGAAACACATAAAAAGATAAAGGGAAAATTGTCAAATAGGTCCTCGAACTTTCATAAAAAAAGTCAATTAAGTCTTTCTATAGGAGACTTTGTCCGGTCGTCGTGATTTGGGGCGGTTCCCGGTGGAATTTTTTGATGAAATTTTTTGAGAATCATATTCATCAAGCCTAGTTTACTCATACCAAATTTCACCTAAAAATTTAATCGGGAGCGCATTCAAATTAATTCGAGAACACAAAAATGCGCAGTTATCTTCAAGAATTAATTTGGATGTGTTCCCGATTGAATGTTTAGCTGAAATTTGGTATGAGTAAACTAGACTTGGTGAATAAGATGCTCAAAAAAAATTATTAAAAAATTCCACCGGAAACTGCCCCAAATCGCGACGGCTGGACAGAATCTCCTATAGAAGGACTTAATTGACCCAAATCTGTCTGGAAAGGAAATTTTTCTAAAAAACTCTCCTAATAGAGTGAGAAATAGAATAATAAATTTGGAAAAGAAATAAAAGCAAAAGGATGAAAAAAAATATAAAATTGTCTAGGGATAAAATTAATGAAAAAGAATTTAGGGTGAAAAAAAAATGAAACATGGGACTTTTGAGCAGATTTGTGAAAGGTGGGATTATTATGTAAGGTTTCCAAAGAAAAGACAAAAAAAATGGTATAGTAGATCATGAACATAAATGTGGGATTATTTTGGGCTGCAAAGGTGAGATTATTTTGGGATTACGTAAAGTGGGATTATTATGAGAAGACCGGTCAAATGTGGGATTACTATTGTCAATTTTTCCTTTTAGTAATTCGAATTCTAAATAAGATAGAAAAACATAAATAAAAAAGGAGTAGATTCATTGATGTGACTTAAATGCTAACAAACTCAGCAAAGGATAGTTGGAATTAAGGATTTGGGATGTGAGGATACGACTTTGAGAGCCTAAAGCCTGATGGAATCCAACCAATGACATGAAAATGATTACTGTGTTTGGAAAAGCCATTGAAGAATCCCCGCCATGAGCACAGACCAAAGGAGGATTTCTCAACCAACTGCATTTCTGTTCTTGCACCTACACAATAACAACGATGTGTAAGAGTCTAGCAAAATGCAAAGAAATTGACCATCCAATAGCCACTCTGGAGTATATAAGGCTACACCGCCTCGACTTATACACTTATATGATAACATCCACTCTAATACACTGCTACATTCATGATCCATACCCTACTGCACTTTGAGTTATTACCATCACAATGGCCAAAATTAAGGAATCTTAACTCTCATGGAAAGATGAAAATGATATATACTAAAGGTGTTGCCAAACCTATAGGACATACCTAATATATGTGCATCAAAAGTTAAAACAAAATAAAGAAGTATTTCTCAGATATATTGTACTGTCGATGAAAAACATTTTTACTCTATTAAGAATGCTTCCATCAAGAATCAGGCAATTGCCTGTGATTGATTTTGTTAGGTACTCGAGAATTTGATGGTGAACCGAAGTAGATTAAGATGAAAATTGATAAAACTGAAAAGAGAAGGTACAAGAGACACTTCGAGTAGTCTCAACACTCCCAAGTCCCAGTCCCAATTTCTACCTGCCCATCTCCTCACCACTCTCACTTATTTATTCTATTTCTAATGGGCCAGCCCACTATTACATTTTATTAAAAAACTCAGTATTATTTCTATTATATCTCACTCCATAAGCTCACAAGTCCAGTTCTCTATCAGATTTGCAAAATCAAATTGGGCATTTGATCTACCTTCACATTTATATGGACAAAATTGCCGGGTAGATTGGATTCCAGAGAGCATTTCTAGGTCAATAACAACACCTCTCATCTTATATAATCATACATAACGAGTTAGTTGAACAAATTATCTAACAAACAAACAACAACAAGAACAACACTGTCTAAATAGGTTCAGAAAGACCTCCATACTGATAGGACAAGAGGTGTGGAGCATTACAATAAGGTGTATGTAAGGAAGGGAAAAAGGGGCGGGAGTTAATAAAATTGTATGATGGGTGCTGGAAGTTATAAATAGGGGCGGGAAGGCTAATAAAGTTAGGCTGGTTTTCTATTATGGTTGGTTGGGCTAGGCTAGAGAGAGAAACTTCCCCTTCTACCTCTAGATTCCATTGTTTCGAACTTCCTCCTCTGTAAACTTTACAAGAATTACTCTGAGAATTCCTCAGAATTCCTTTTCATTAATAAAATTCAGTTTACAGGAATTGTTTACCTATCATTGGTATCAGAGCAGTTCGGTCCTGTAGCCAGTGAATGAGAATTGTCAAGTCCCAAATGGAGAATCGACTGGATAACATCGAGCAGTATATGAAGCGGAACACAACTGATGTGCGACCGATGGTGGCAAATCTGGAGCAGAACAAAACTGATGTATGATCGGTGGTGGATGAGTTGCGCAACATGCGTGGTTCGATGGAAAGCATGATGGCTGAGTTTCGTAATTTGCGACAACTGGCGACGAACAAGGATCGCCCCTACTGTTAGCACTGGTTCGCCGTCACATTCCCAGGGTAATCCACACATGTCTCCAAATCCTTCATACGTACGTCAGTACGTGAACATGATCGTGTTAATAGAGGATTTGAAAGGACTGGTAGAGAGGTGGGTTTACCTCAGTTTAACGGTGAAGATGTGAAGGGTTGGATTATTAGAGTAGAAAGCTTTTTCAAATTAAACCATGTAACCGAGCAGAAGAAGATTGAGCGGGTGATGCTGGTCATGGAAGAAAAAGACCTGAATTGGTTTCAGTGGTAGGAAGGGCAGAATGAGGAGAGAACCTGGGAATTGTTCAAGGAGGCGCTGATGAGGAGATTCCAACCGGAGCTCTTACAGAATCCTTTGGACCAATGCTTAGTCTGAGACAGACTGGTTCAGTAATGGAGTAGTAATGGAGTACAGGGAACGTTTGAAATGGTGGTGGGCCCCTTACAACACACTGATGAGCAAATGCTTAAAGGAATCTACCTAAATGGGTTAAGGGAAGAGATGAAAGAAGAACTTAAACTACATATCTATGGTTTTGGAGGGAAAGAATGCTGCACTGAGAGGTGGAAAACTGAGGGAAGGAGAGCAGAGAAGTGGAACGGAAAAGGGAGAAGCCCTGGGAAAACCTCAACAATGGATAGATGGCAGCAAATGGAGGTTCCAATCCAATGCTACTGATAAATTTAAAGCTGAGAACCGTGTGGGAGAATCTACTGAACCAAACACCAGCTGGAAACAGAGACAGAGGTTGACACAAACTGAGCTACAAGAAAGAAGCAGGAAGGGGTTATGTTTTAAATGTGGAGAAAGATAGGGAAAAGGACATGTCTGTAAAATGAAACACAGCCAGAAGAAGAGGGAGTGAAGCATGACCAGGAGGGGGAAACAGAAGTGGAAATTGCCTCTATAGAATCCCAACCTATGCTCTTATCTGCAATGAGTAAACAAGGGATCACCACTCCCAAAACATTCAAACTGAAAGGAGAGTTGCTAATAAATGGGCATAACAAAACAGTGTTGATCCTAGTGGATAGTGGAGCTGCTCACAACTTCATCTCTAACACTTTATCTGAGCTTATGGACAGGGCCTTGTTGCTGGAAGAAAAGAACAAGGCGTCGAGAGGGGGGAAATATAAGGAAGAAGACAAAAAGGGGCGGAAAGAACAAAGGAGGGACTATGGTCAGGCCTTTGAACGGGGTGTAAGCAGTGAAGGGTAGAGCACCTGTTGTTCAGTCAAAACTCCTGAGAGAACACTTTCAGATAACAAACTGAAGGAGTTACCAAAACCGAGAAACACATGGGAGGGAGGCTTAAGGTTGGCACAAGCAGAGTTAGAAGGAAGAAGTAAAAATGGCTTATGCTTTAAATGTGGAATGAAACATTATCATTTGTCTTGATGAAAGAGCACAGAAGAAGAGAAGAGAACAAGTGATCAGCAGCCGGAACTGGATGTACCAGATAATCTGCTGAAACCAAATGCCGAAGCAGTTTCTTACTACCCACCTTCAGGACAAGGTGGTAGTTGGGGGGGTGATGATAGGGACCTGGATGTTAGGTATTGGCTAATTCAATCAGTAGTTCTGAGCTCAAAAAATGGCGAAGAAGATCAGAAGAAGTTTATTGATTTAATGTAAAGAGAAGAGTACAGTTCCCAGGTCGTAACTAAGTTCCAACTCCCAATCCCAAGTCCCAAGTCCAAGTTCTGCCTAACCTCCTCTTTCCCCACTTCCCACTCTTATAATAAGGCTACTCTCAAGGGCTGGCCCAAAATCACAACATAAATGGCCCAACACCCTTATTTGTACACTATTACATTATTTATTATAATTCTATTATTCTTATTATTATAGGCTGTCCATGTCCCTATCATATCTCCCCCCTTGAACAACCACCTTGTCCTCAAGGTGGGTGATAGGAAACAGCCTTGTTGTCCTTCAACATCTTCTTCATCCGGGTGCCTCTTCCTTCCCAGTATCTCGCAGTTTGTTGAATTAGAAGCTTCAGTACTTGTACCTCCAAAATCAAAAATGTTGCTGCTGCAGAAGATATGTCGAGTGCAGTTTCATTTGTTTCAGTGGCCTTCAAGCACTCACTGGCTACAATTAATTCCTCTTCTTCAAAAAACTCCTCTCAAGGACTCTTACTTCTGAAGTTATCAGTGAGTTGGATGCAGATTTTAGGTTGCTCAAATTACTCAGTTCACTGTCTACAACAAGCCTTATGCAAAATAAGTTGTGCACCACAGTACTGCCATGCGATGTCAGATTCTCCAACCGCCAAAGTCCCAAATCTGGGAAGTTTTCTTCTTTCCGTTCCCTTATAAGAGAGCCAATAGCTCTTGCAGCAACAGAACGAGCTTCAGGGACTGGTTCCTGATGAACTTCGGGCAGAATACTCAAGCACATATTGGTTTTCTGATTCTTAAAAGTGATGAACGCGCCAAACTCCTTTATTTTATGAGCATGTCCTTCAATATTGCTGCCAAGAGCAAACTTATCAGTCCATCTCAGTCCAAAATCAGAGGAGTCCCCAATTGCAGAAAATACCACATTGCAGCCTTCCACGTCCAGAACCGAAAGCTGATCAACTTTAAAATCAGGCTTCAAGATAGACTTCATTAACCCAACCTTATCAATAAGATCAATGGCTGTATCTGGAAGATATCTATCACTCTTGTATCTAGCTGACAGTTGCACAACAGCTGTTATGGCCTCATAAGTATATTTATACTTACTATACTCATCATTCTCACTCAGCCCTGGCAGTATCTGGACAGTATCCTCCTGGCTCTGTTCATGAACTCTTATAGGTTGAAACCCCAGCAATGGCCTTAACAGATTAGCAAAGCCAAGTCCAGAACCCTTGCTTCCTCTCTCATCCGGGTCCAAATCAATTAGAGTAAGGATCTTATCGATAAGAAGAATGAAATTTCCATACTTCTTGACCTCCCCAAGTAATGTAGTCACACGAGCCTGCAGTTCTCCAGAGAAGTACAAGAATTTCATCATCACAGTAAGATGCCCCGCAAACTCCCTCCTTGGTGCAACCGAATAGCTGGAGTTTAATTTAGAGTCCTGAACAAACCTCAACTCAAACTGGGGAGCAAAATCTGGCAAGCCATTGTAGTACCAAACAACAAAACCATGCTTTTCAATCTTCATTATCCATCCCTGTTTGATTAGTCCCTCAGTAGCATCAGTGTGTGAACTAATGATTCCTTGAAGCTTCTTTCCATCTTTTTCCTCTTCTATTTTCTCAATACTAGCAGTCCAGGCACCAAAAGATAGTGAATTTGTTTTCACCCTGCCCCATAATTGTTCCCCTTCATTGCTGAATGCTGCGTCTCTCATTTGGCCACTAATTCCATTTGTAGAACCCGAATGCGAAGTAGCTTGAGATTCATTTGTTTGTCCAGTAACAGTAAGGATGTCCTGATGAGCATAATCTGTTAACTTAGCTGCACCTATTTTCGAACCTTGACCTCTATCTACCAGGTATGCAGATGTAACAGGATCTCCAAGACTAGTGTGTTCCACTGAATATTCAGTACCTATATAAATTTCAGGAACCACCTTGGTCTCCAACTCAAAAGTATTTGAGCCAGTAACTTTAAAATCAGAAGATTTATTTTCCCTGTCAATTGAGGATTGATTCACCCCATAAGAGTTCTCTCGTCCTTCGTCACTATAGATGAACGTATCTTCCGAGATAAACGTATCTTCAGAAAGAGGTTGCTGCCGACTCACATACTGCTGAGAAGTGGTTTGCAAGTGCGAACTGGGAGATACCGTTCGTGAGTGCGAACCGGGAGATTTTTCCGCTGATCGCGTCACACTTTGATGTGAACTGTGAGAAGTTCTTTTCGATCGTGATGATTCCCGGTTTTCTGTCTTCCGCCTGCGTATAGGTTGGAAACTCCGAATTGTTGCTTCCTTTATGTAAAAGTATATTAGAATATACTTTAGAATATGCTTTAGAATATATTAGGAATATACCATATATAGTATTATTGTATAGCATCTTTTATAGGAATATTCTATCTTTGTAATCTATATTTATAGGGCCTTACCCTTCAATGAAAAAAACAGAAAATCTTTCTCTCCATCTTTAATATCATTTTAGTTTATATTTCAACATGGTATCAGAGACATCCATTTCAATTTAGTCTTTCTTTTTCAGATTTCAGTTTAGTTATTCATAACACTAGACTGATTTCAGTCAGAACATCTTCCTAGAATTTTTTCCCAGAACCTCTTCCCAGAACCCCTCTGTTCTCAGAGACTCCATAAATTTATTAGAGCATTTCAGAAATCCAGAAACTTCAGAAGTTCAGGCCTAAGCTTTCAGCTCATTCTTTTACAGTTTTCGATCATTAGAGCATTCAGCTCTATTGTCATCACCGAAACTTTCAGACAGTTTCTTTGCCGCCGGAAACCAAACCCCTGAGATCCGGAGAAGAAAATTGACGCCCATACTCCACACGCGCTGCCGGAACTCTTTATTATATTGTCCATTTAAAAGTGACGTTCACAACTGCCGATCCAGATTCACGGTCGACAACTGCGCGTGACGTTCACTCCGCCCAGATTCACGGTCGACAACTGCCGAGTGCCGACCGGCTGACCTGCATATCGCCTATCTTCTGTTGTCGCTTCTCTTTGGGATGCTTAGTATTCGTCACAGCTCTTCAATAAGCTGACATCGGAAGAAAAAAGACGATACTAGGCAAAGCAGCGAATTTCAGAAATCTGGGTGCGCAAACTTCTTCCAGACTTACTTGCAGAGGGTTTTTATCCTCAGCCAGATCGCACACTCTCTTCTGGTAAGGACTTATTTACCGAGCCTCTACTTATTGACCTTTTGTGCGAACATGGAGGATATAAGACATTAAAAGAAAAGTGAGATGAAACGTCGATCTGAATTGTTCACTCATTTTTCTTCCTTTTGTGCTGAAATTAAAACTCAGTTTAACGTTCCTGTTCGGGTATTAAGAGGAGACAATGCCCAAGAATATCTATCTGCTACATTTAAGTCGTTTATGCTTCAACATGGCATTATTCATCAAACTTCGTGTGTTGACACACCTCCTCAAAATGGAGTTGCAGAACGAAAGAACCGACATCTGTTAGAAACTGCAAGGGCTCTTCTATTCCAAATGAATGTGCCTAAACAGTTTTGGGCAGATGCCGTGTCTACTGCATGTTTTTTGATAAATCGAATGCCATCTTCTGTTTTGAATGGTAAAGCTCCTTATCATTGTCTATTTCCAAACAAAGAGCTTTTTCCTATCCCACCTAAAATATTTGGTTGCACTTGTTTTGTTAGAGATGTTAATCCTCATCTTACAAAGTTAGATCCCAAATCATTAAAATGTATTTTCTTGGGTTATTCTCGAGTCCAAAAGGGGTATAGATGTTTTTGTCCGAGTACTGGTCGGTATCTTGTTTCTATTGATGCATCGTTTCATGAAAATACACCTTTTTCATCATCTAAGGCAGATATTCATGAGAGTACTGATGATATACTCATTTACACGATGACTATTCCCGAGTCCACACTTTCGACAAATATTCCACAAGTTACTGTTCCTGACCCTAGGCCTCCCGTACATTTGGTATACACCCGTCGACACAAAGCACCTGATCACCCTCCACCGGCGATACCTGTGATTACTTATCCTGATACTAGTTCGACTCCGATCTCATGTCCTGAACCAGTACCTGCATCTTCAGATCTTGTCTCCACATCAGATCTTGACCTCCCAATAGCACTACGTAAAGGTACACGGTCTTGTACTCATCCTATTTCTTCATTTGTGTCATACAATCAGTTATCTCCTGCTTCATGTTCTTTTATTGCTTCCATTGATTCTATTTCTGTTCCCAAATCTGTCAAAGAAGCTTTGTCTCATCCTGAATGGCGTCATGCCATGGTAGAGGAAATGAATGCTTTAGATCTTAATGGTACTTGGGATTTGGTTGACTTGCCTACAGGGAAGAAATCTATTGGATGTAAGTGGGTCTTTGCTGTTAAGGTTAACCCAGACGGATCTGTTGCTCGGTTAAAAGCCCGATTAGTTGCGAAGGGTTATGCTCAAACCTATGGTGTTGACTATTCTGACACTTTTTCTCCTGTTGCTAAATTAACATCTGTCAGGTTACTTATTTCACTCGCTGCAACTCATGATTGGCACTTACATCAGTTGGACATTAAAAATGCATTTTTGCATGGTGACCTTAAAGAAGAAGTCTATATTGAGCAACCTCCGGGATTTGTTGCTCAGGGGGAGTATGGTAAGGTTTGTCGACTTCGCAAATCTCTTTATGGTCTGAAACAGAGTCCTCGTGCATGGTTTGGGAAATTCAGTCAATCAATTGAACAATTTGGAATGATAAAAGGCAAATCAGATCACTCTGTCTTTTACAAACAAACAGAATCAGGTGTCACATTGCTTGTGGTGTATGTTGATGATATTGTGATTACAGGAAGTGATAATGCAGGTATTTTGGCCCTTAAGAATTTTCTGCATAGTCAATTCCAGACGAAAGATCTTGGCTCTTTGAAATACTTTTTGGGAATTGAGGTAACACGAAGTAAGAAAGGCATATTTCTATCTCAACGTAAATATGTACTTGACTTACTAGCTGAGACCGGGAAATTAGGGGCAAAACCAAGTACAACACCCATGGTTCCCAACGTGCAACTCACTCAAGAAGGCACACCGTTTGAAGACCCAGAAAGATATAGAAGATTGGTTGGAAAGCTTAATTATCTCGCAGTCACTCGTCCAGATATTGCCTATTCCGTGAGTGTAGTAAGTCAATACATGTCATCTCCAACCATTGATCATTGGGCTGCAGTAGAACACATATTATGTTACTTAAAGGGTGCACCAGGACGAGGTATTGTTTATCAAAACCATGATCACATGAGAATAGAATGTTTTGCAGATGCTGATTGGGCCGGTTCTAAAGATGATCGAAGATCTACATCTGGTTATTGTGTCTTTGTTGGTGGTAATCTTGTATCTTGGAAGAGTAAGAAGCAGAATGTGGTTTCTCGTTCGAGTGCCGAATCAGAATATCGAGCTATGGCACAATCTGCATGTGAGATCATATGGATAAGCCATTTATTGACCGAGCTCGGACTGAAGACATCAATGCCTGCTAAATTGTGGTGTGATAACCAAGCTGCTATACACATAGCAAACAATCCTGTATTTCATGAGAGAACAAAGCATATTGAGGTCGATTGTCATTTTATTCGAGAGAAGATACAAAAAGGATTGATCTCTACAGGATATGTGAAGACTGGGGAACAACTTGGAGATTTGTTCACTAAAGCACTAAATGGAATTCGAGTTGGTTATTTATGTAACAAGTTGGGCATGATAAATATCTATGCTCCAACTTGAGGGGGAGTGTAAAAGTATATTAGAATATACTTTAGAATATGCTTTAGAATATATTAGGAATATACCATATATAGTATTATTGTATAGCATCTTTTATAGGAATATTCTATCTTTGTAATCTATATTTATAGGGCCTTACCCTTCAATGAAAAAAACAGAAAATCTTTCTCTCCATCTTTAATATCATTTTAGTTTATATTTCAACACTTTAGAACTTCCCAATTACTTTCTCTCGTTCCAATTTCCCACAATTGAAACCAATTGTACGCCATTTCCTCCATAGCTTCTTCTGCGACTCTAACCTTGTATTTTTCAGCAGTACCATTGAGTCTGAAGTATCGTTCCATACTAATTATCCATCTGTGCAGGTCATCCCCTTTGAATACAGGTAAATCTGGTGATTCCTCTGGACTTACGCAATTTCTCATGTTCCTAAGGTGCGAAGTGGAATGCGAACTATGAGAAGAAGTTGGCGACTTAACTTCGACTTCATCGCGAGTCTTCCGCACTTCATCTCGAGTCTTCCCCACCTCCTCGCGGTTTCGATCCTCTTTGCGCAAACCAGAGCGCTTCTCCCTATGCGCGCGCGAACCAGATGCGGCTACTTGATCTGCATGTTCGCGTTTCTCCACCTTATGTTTCCTGCGTTGTTCCTTTCCGCCATGAGAAGCCACAGGCTCCTCAGTGTTTGCGCGCAAATCAGAGGCGATCGATTTCCGTTCTGACCTTCGATATTCCTTGCGGTGCTCCATTTTTTATAGCGTGACTTAGATCGAAGCTTCCCAGTACAACTGCTCTGATACCAATGTTAGGTATTGGCTAATTCAATCAGTAGTTCTGAGCTCAAAAAATGGCGAAGAAGATCAGAAGAAGTTTATTGATTTAATGTAAAGAGAAGAGTACAGTTCCCAGGTCGTAACTAAGTTCCGACTCCCAATCCCAAGTCCCAAGTCCAAGTTCTGCCTAACCTCCTCTTTCCCCACTTCCCACTCTTATAATAAGGCTACTCTCAAGGGCTGGCCCAAAATCACAACATAAATGGCCCAACACCCTTATTTGTACACTATTACATTATTTATTATAATTCTATTATTCTTATTATTATAGGCTGTCCATGTCCCTATCACTGGACACTCCTCCTAAGTCCTAATAAGAATAATACTACTTCTATTAATATTGTAAAATAAAAGTGTTCTAGGCCCAATAACATAGAGCTGGGGATTGGCCCTTGTTGCTGGAAGAGAAGGACAAGGTATGGAGAGGAGGAAATTAGGGAAGAAGACAAAAAGGGCTGGAAAGAACAAAGAGGGGCTAAGGTCAGGTCTTTGAATTGGGTGAAAGAAACGAAGGGAAGAACACCTGCTATTCAGTCACTGACTCCTGACAGAACATTTTCAGAGAACAAACTAGAGGAATCACCAAAACCGAATAAGACATGGCAGGGAGGCCAAAGGTGGCCATAAGCAGAGTTAGAAGGAAGAAGTAAAAATGGTTTATGCTTCAAATGTAGAAACAAATGGAGCAAAGAGCATGTTTGTGGAATGAAACATTATCAATTTGTCTTGATGAAAGAGCACAGAAGAAGAGAAGAGAACAAGTGATCAGCAGCCTGAACTGGATGTAGCAGATACTCCGCTAAAACCAAATGCCAGAGCAGTTTCTTACTACCCACCTTGAGGACAAGGTGGTAGTTATGAGGGAGTGATGAGAATAATATTGCAAGAATAATACTCCCTCCGTCCCATTTCGGTTGTCCTACTTTTCTTTTTGGGTTGTCCCAAAATGAATGTCATGTTTCCCTTTTTAGCAAGAAATATGTGATCCTTATCATTTCACCTTATTCTACTCAAATCTCAACCACAACTTTTACTTTTCAACCACTTTGTTAATAATTGTGCCAAATTGAAAGAGGACAACCATTATGGGACGGAGGTAGTACTAAACATAGGGCTGGGAACTGTCCTTTTACGATAGAATTATAATAATGAGCGGGTAAGGGGAGAAGGATAAGCAGAATTTTAGTCGCAACTGGGAATTGGGAGAGTGAGACCTCACAAAAAGTCTCACCTATTTCTGTTTTTCTCTTTTCTTCGATTTCTATCATTGTAATCCTGAAATCTTCATCCATAAACTATTAATCTCTGGCTCTCTACTGCGTTGGTGGAGGTTCCTAACACTTTCCCACTTATAAAATATGTCCTAAGGCACATCTATTTATTTATGAATGACCTGTGAAGTCATCTTTCATAATAGAATAGAAGCAGTAGTCACGCAAGCTTTTGTGGAGTCGACAACTCACTTTGATTCTTCATGTTTTGGTTTAGCCCTTGATTGGCAGAGTGAGCGGGGACGTTGCCTTCTTTGAAAGCGTCTGAGACGGATCCGGGCTAGCCAGTGTGACCTATAAATCTTTAATTGGAAGTTGTTCAAGAGGTTTGACATGTATGGGCACTCAAACCAGACTATGTTGCCAGAAAACAGACTCTCTTTATAACATACTAACATAGTTTGGTAAGATGGTGTGGTGCACTGCTATAATAAAAAGTAGGATGGGACAGATGACCCCACGGGGGACATCCTAACACCCTAGAATCTGATTAGGAAAGAAGTGAAGTTAGCTCGGATGATAGATCTGTTAGTGAGTACAAGGTAGAGAGTCACACGGGGTTCAGTTTGACTAGATTCTCCCCTCTCTTGAGATTGGAAGTTAAATTTTAATATCGACTCCCTTTTCTCATTCTAAGAGCAACGAAGTTGAATTCGAGTGAAAGCAGTTCGCTCAGGTAGCTTGAATTATAACTCCTCCCCCCACCAAGGGAAGAGGACTCACTTCAAGAGCGAGGTTTTCAATACAGGTATCCTTTTCCTCTTCTTGCCCGGGCTTGGCTTTCAGACATGACACCCTTATTGTTGGAGCGAAAGGGATTGCCTCGTTTTGGGGTTATCTTGTTGAATGTCCGTTGAATCGTATATAACTTATTGTCTAACTTACAGGTTGTGTAAGAGTGGTCTAACTGCAACCAGATGACCCCACGGGGGACATCCTAACACCCTAGAATCTGAATAGAAAAGAAGTGAAGTTAGCTTGTATGACAATATGACATACCATTTCTGTTAGCAAACACAAGCTGGGGAGTCACATGAGGTTCAGTTTGACTAGATTCTCCCCTCTCTTGAGATTGGAAGTTAAGTTTTGATGTCAAATCCCTTTTCTCATTATAGCAGTGAAGTTGAATTAGAGTGAAAAGCAGTTAGCTCAAGTAGCTTTAACTATAACTCTTCCTCCCACTGAGAGAAGAGGGCTCACAACAAGAGCGAGGTTTTCAATACAGGTATCCTACCTATCAGTAGTTAAACAAATTATGTATGAACAAAAAAAATGTTGTTCACATATCTCAATGCTCCAACCACTATCGCCTTAATTTCACCCCTCCCTATCCAAACTCAAATTTGTTGTTACAAATGGATCGTCATCACCTATCTCACAAATGGGGCCACAATTTGTTATATTAAAAATGGTTTAAATATGTTTTTAGTCCCTGCAAATATAATACATGTTGTTTTACATCCCTGCAAAATTATTTTTTTGTTTTTCGTCCCTGCAATTTAGGTTGGTTTTCTTTTAGGTAATCACTGATGATAACAACCTTCGTTGGACCTCAAAATAACCCTGATTAATAGATTTCCTCTAATTCTTTGTCATGTTATTAAAAAAGTATTTAATTTTATTTTTTCAAGGTTTTTAATATATATTTTTAAAATGTGAAAAGTGGTTTTACATTGTTTTGACTCTCATATTAGCCACACAAAAAAATTAAAAGGACAAATTTAAATATTTCTAATAGATTTATGTAATAGACAGTAACTTTTTTTGTGAGTAGATTAGTTTCCGAATCAGAGATGGACCAAAAACAAAATAGTCCATATTGCAGGGATGAAAAATAAGAAAAATATTTTGCAGGGACTTAAAACAAATTGTGTCATATTTGCAGGGACTAAAAACATATTTAAGCCATTCAAAATTAAAGACGCCATGACTTGAACTTTATTTATAAAAATTGAATGAGATTTAGGTATAATAAGCAAAATCTTAGAATAAAAATGGTTATTTTCACCAAATGAGAAGTTGGAGTAACATCATCTTTAGTACAGAACTAATAAATAATTTAAGTAAATACTAATTGGTTAAAAGCATATCTATTTATTACTGCATCACACATTCTGCTTTCATTTTCTCTGGTTGTAAAACCTTTAAAGTGTACAGGACTTCTAGTGAAGCACAAATTATTCAATTCAAAAGAAGAAGTATTCATCTATTTAATCTCTAATGTACAAGTTCGAACAACTGCACTGGTAAAACGCAAAAACAAACAATACACCCTACAAAATTCTGCATAGAGGGTACGAAAGCTTGCCTGAATGAAGCGACGGAGTTTGAAGTGAAAGAAGAGGGGCGGGATAATTGCTATGAAGGCGATGCTAATAAGAAGATAACGAAATATCCGCTTCCTAGAAGCGAGGCCTCTAAGTTTAGGAGTAAAGATCCTGGTTAGCGATAAGAGAGCACTGCGCCTCTCGAGGCGGAGCCGCCGCGTTTGCCTGTCCCATCTCGAGATAAAGGATTGCATTTCCATCAATGGATCGTTCAAATGGATGTAGAACAAATACTCCGTATGAATTTCTAATAACGGTGAGAAAAGCAGGTGTCACACACACTACGGAGGTTAGGGGATTGCTAGGCGCACCTGCAAAATTACTCACGTTGACACTTTTAACCTTGTTTATGTAACCTTGCAAATTAAACTCATGCGTCCCAAGTCTAAAATGAAACCTTTTTTTTCAATTACCTAATTTACAAACTACAAAGGATAATAGATGCAGCCGCACATTCTTTTGGCCTGTTTTTTTTTTTAATTTCAAATCTTTTTCCAGGTTCTCTTTGTTAAATAAATTTAAATATTTGTGTTTCGTTTACACTTATTCACAGGATTTTAATGATCAAAATAATGTTTTGTTTTTCAAATAATAATTTTATTTATTTATTTATTAGTAAAACATGATTTATAATTTCTTTTCATAATTCAGAGCCCTTTTGATAACAGTGAAATTGGCTAAATCGACTGCTTTTACTGGAATTTATGAAGTTTTGGCTGAAGTGGCTGGATTGGCTGATTCTGCCGATTTATGAAAAACAAAATTAAAATATTTTTATTAATAAATAAAGAAAAAATATATATGAATAAATAGCTAAAATGATCTTTTACAGTAACTTCAGTCAATACAGTCAGAAAAGTAATTTCAATAGTTCAACCTTACTTTGTCTTATTATTACACATTTCAGCGCGCGAAATCATAAGTTACGTGTTTGGTGAAAACGTTGGTTGATAATCTGATAAGCCGAAAATCATAGTCTTCAAATGTGCTCTCAGTCGATTTCACAATACCTTTTCAAATACACATGTACGGACAGTCACTCCCCCATCTTAATTTGGTTGCAAATTATAAGTAATATTCTTGAAAAACCTTAAGTTATAAACAAAAGAATATCTTCTATTAAAGATCAGGAATACCATTGCAAAAAAAAGACCAGGAATACAAGTTAGTGAAATAGTGTGCTTCACGCTGATAGCAAAATATTATTTCCTCCGTCCCGGAAAATTGTTCCCGCATTGACTTGGAATGGAGTTTAAGAAAGTGGGAATAAAGTGGAAATGTACGGTTGTGGTTGAGTAAGAAAAAGGTAAATGAATTGTAGCAAAAAAAAAAACTTTCTGTTAAGACCCGTATGGGTCTAATTATTTTGTATATAGCCTTTTGTATGTAATGGGCCAAAGGCTTAATTAATAGGGAGTAGATACGGTTCCAACTTGTATATAAAAACACCTTTTGTATGTATAGACATTTGCTCCTGTAGCTAAAATGGTTACTGTTCGCGTTTTTCTAGCTGTTGCTGCAGCCAAAAATTGGGAATTACATCAGATGGATGTACATAATGCCTTCTTACACGGAGATTTAGATGAAGAGGTTTACATGAAACCTCCGCCGGGTTTTTCTACCTCTCGGCCTGGCCAGGTATGCCGGTTGCGGAAATCTTTGTATGTCTTACGACAAGCTCCCAGATGCTGGTTTGCTAAGTTAACCAATTCTTTAAAAAATTATGGATTTCGCCAGTCTTATTCTGATTACTCTCTCTTCACCTTTCGGCAAGGGTTTGTTCATTTAAATATCCTGATTTATGTCGATGATTTAATTATTTCTGGAAATGACTCTTCTGCTCTATCCAAGTTTAAATCCTATTTGAGCACGTGCTTCCATATGAAAGATTTAGGTGTTCTTAAGTATTTCCTTGGTATTGAGGTGGCAAGAAGTGCTGAAGGTATTTTTCTGTGTTAGCGTAAGTATATTTTGGACATCATTTGTGAGTCCGGTCTTCTTGGTGCGAAACCGACAGCCTTTCCTATGGAGCAGAATCATAACTTAGCTCTTTCTACAAGTGATCTTATGTCCGATCCAGAATCTTATCGAAGACTTGTTGGTCAACTCATTTATTTGTCTTTCACTCGCCCTGACTTGGCATATTCCGTCCACATTTTATCTCAGTTCATGCAGGCACCACGAGTGGACCATTGGCATGCAGCCACTCGAGTTGTTCGTTATCTCAAAGGTTGCTCAGGACAAGGCATTCTTTTACGATCATCATGTGACCTAACTCTTGCAGGTTGGTGCGATTCTGATTGGGCTAGTTGTCCACTTACTCGTCGCTCCCTCACTGGTTGGTTTGTGCTTCTTGATGGGCCCCCTATCTCCTGGAAAACCAAGAAACAACACACTGTCTCCCGTTCATCTGCTGAAGCTGAGTATCGATCTATGGCGGCACTTACTGCAGAGTTAAAATGGCTCAAGGGTCTTCTCTTTAGTTTGGGCATTGCACATTCTCGTCCTATGTCGCTCTACTGTGACAGTCGTTCTGCTCTCCATATTGCTCAAAATCCGGTGTTTCATGAACGCACGAAACACATTGAGGTTGATTGTCACTATGTCCGAGATGCTCTTCAGGAGGGTTTGATTTCCGCTCACCATGTTTCTACCCATGAACAGCTTGCCGACATTTTCACCAAGGCTCTCGGCAAGAGACAATTCTTTTATCTTCTTCGCAAGTTGGGCATTTTCGATCCCCATGCTCCAACTTGAGGGGTGGTGTTAAGACCCGTATGGGTCTAATTATTTTGTATATAGCCTCTTGTATGTAATGGGCCAAAGGCTTAATTAATAGGGAGTAGATACGGTTCCAACTTGTATATAAAAACACCTCTTGATTATTTCAATGATAGGGAAAAAGTTTATTTCCTATGCACTCCTAAAATTCAATACTTTCCAAAAGGGGAAAGTAGAACAATTTTTTGGGACGGCCCAAAAAGGAAATCGGGAACAATTTCCGGGACGGAGAGAGTATAATTTGGATTATTGAACAACGTTCTTAATTTCAAAAAGTTAAAACCCCTATAAACATACACACTAGGACATAATTGTCCAACAACGTTGCAAAATGGGTGCGCTTAGCAAAAACAATGGTGTGCAGAGATGCACCGCGGAAGTTATCAGCTCTTCTCCCCGCGGAAGTTTTGAAATAAATCTTACAGTCATATATTATGGATGTCCATTAGTTCATAGCCCGAGACCATATGTACTGGCTTCCCTCTTATATATACATCCTCATATATGAATCAAAGCATGCTTTTGATTTGATTCATTACACGTTATCGGCACCAGCCCTAACCCTAACCTTTTTCCCCTTTCCATTCTTTCCCTTTTTTTGTTTCCGCCATTGAAGACCGATATACATACCTACTACGGCAGTTCGTTAGTGGCCCAGACAAAACAATGAGATCATTTCCATAATCCTATCACGCATTTGATAAGTATTAAATTCAGTAATTGGAACCACAACCATTAATAACCAAATTATAAGCACAGACTCACGGAGTAACAATCAATTAATTATTTTTATACTTTTTATTTTTTATTACATTCAATTGAAGAAATGAAGTATCCGTTTTTTGCACACTTAACAGATAAATCAACCAAATTGCTCGTAGTATTAATTTTGTTTTCAAAATAATTTGATAGAAATAAAAAAAGTGTAATAATAGTCTCATTTCCTAAAATGTAATGTTTTATTTTTCTAAACTCAATGTTGATATAATGATTAAAATTCTTTTTTTGTAAGAGATAATGATTAAAATTCTAAGCCCCAGATTAGCAATTGTGTTAACACTTCGTATTTTTCTACATCTTCAATTCGTACAATTCTTTATTAATTTTTAACATGGTGATGAAAATAATAACCACCATATTGTTGAAATTAAAAACGAAATTAAAACTATTACATATTCAAATATAGAATTTTTTTAAAGAATACTTCTCATCAAGCAGCTTACCTTATTTAACTAGGATGAAAATTGACATCATACATAAACATATATATATTGATATATATATTTTCACAAGTAAATACGTTTAGCCTAGCCAAAAGACTGAAAAGGTAAATATGTTGGGTTGTTTTTTTATTTTTACAACTACAATTTAAATATGTCTTCACTTTTGAAATAAATTCCTAATCCAAATAAGGAAATCTTTATATGTTTACAAATTCCTAATTTTATTCAATAGAATGTTTTAATTGGATTGATTTCATTTCCAGATTAAATCATATCAATCATACTTTAATATAATAATAGTAATACTAATAATAATAATAGTAATAATATTAGTAAAAATAACAGTAATAATAATAAAAGTAATAATAATAGTAATTATAATAATAATAATAACAATAATAATAATAACAACAACAACAATAATAATAATAAGGGGAAAATGGCTATATAGCCTAAAAATACACCATATAAAGTTAATAGCCTTTGTTTTCTAATATAAAACATATAACTCTTCCGTATGTGATTTAAAACCGACCCAAACATGAAATACCATTTCAGTCCTTTAATTATAATTTAAGTTGTTTTGATATGATTGGATATACACTCTTCATCCACAGCCCGGTAGCTCACTATTTATGGGGTCGGAGATCCCCGATTGCAAAATCTGAGTTCAGAAATATAAAAATTAGGGTGAGGCGTTTGTGGTTTCCGACATCAGGGAGCAAGATAAACACTTACGGGAGTTAATTAATGTGTTATGCATCAATTTAATAAAAAATGTGTGTTTCGTAAAGGGAAGGAAAATACAGAGTGGGTGAAATCCAAATGATTGATGAATTCATTATTGATACTGTGATATTTCGTCTTTTAGTAATTAATCGATGATACATCTGTAAATAGGTTAATTGGTTTATTAGTTATTACTAATTGGGTTGGTTGTTTGGGAAAGGTTTAACCACTAAAGGGTTTGCTTATAAAACAAAATAGTGAAGAGATCAGATTGGATATACAATCACACCAACATACCAATTGTACAGAGGAAGTGTTATGATGGTACACGGAAATGCTAATTTCGCGGGATAGTGCGGACGGGAAGAAACCACCAATACTGAAAAAAGTTATATTTATCATAATTTATCGATGGCATTTGATAAAAGCTATACATTTTATTTTTGTAAATGTATAACATCAATTAAAAGGTGTATATTTAAAGGTGTATATACACCCAAAATTCTCTAATAATAATAATAATAGCTTTGTTTTTTATATTTTTATATTTTTCGAAATTTTGATACCTTTAACGGTTGAAGGGGTGAATTGAACGATTCAGTTGGTTCAGGAGCTTATTTGTCTCATGAGTTGCAACATCAGATGCACAATTAACACATGACCTGATGATGTGACGCTGACTGGGTGATTACGTATAAATTGTCAAATTCGAAATTTTTATCTAACTTTTTTTTATCATCAAAACAGACCTCTATTCATATCTAACTTAAAATGTTAATTTTTTTTTGGGAAAACTGTCAAATAAATCCCTGTACTTATACGAAAAAGTCAATTGAGTCCCCATACTTTTTTGTGAATTAATTAGGTCCTCAAAGTGATAAAAAATGATCAAATTGGCCATTGTGTAGGTCATTGTCCGGTTTCCCGGTTGACAAGCTATGTAGATGTCCATTTGGCATTTTATTTAATAATTTTCTATTTTTTTAAAATCTATTTCTTTTCATTTTTCTTTTCTCCTTTCTTTTTCCTTTTCTCTTTCTTTCTCCCAGCCCTTTCTTTCTTCTCCGGTTCTGCATCCCTTTTCATTTTCTTCTCCGCCAACGAAGTATGTCTGGCCTCCACCACCCTCTCCATTTCCGACGCCTATGGCTTTGTAGCCACCACCTCTGCCACTCGAATTCCATTGCCACCAGCTTCGCGACCTCTATCTCCAACTTCTGACCTCCGCCGCCCCTACCTCCACATGCCCACCATCTTCGCCGCTCCCACCTCCATACCAATTACCCATCACCTTCGCCACCCGGTGCCAATACCTCCATATCTATCACCTCCGCAGATCCGCCGCCCTTACTTCCGTATGCCAAGTCACCAACCCTCCATATATAGGCCATAGCCACAACCTCCCACACAGTCTAATCCCCTTCTATATATGTTCGGCGATGGCTATGTGAAACAGAGAAAGAGGCGGAATGAGAGGAGAAAGAACTATAGAAAGAAACAAGAAAGTAAGAAAAAGATGGGAGGGGGAGAACGGTTCGTGTTTGCGAGAGGAAGGAGAAAAAGAAAAAACAAAAGAAATAGAAAAACTACCTAAAAATAAAATAAAACAGTAAAAAAACGACATGTGGACATCCACGTATGCATCAACCGGGAAACCGGACAATGACCTACAAAATGGCCAATTTGATCATTTTTTATCACTTTGAGGACCTAATTGATTCACCAAAAAGTATGAGGACTCAATTGACTTTTTCGTATAAGTACAGGGACCTATTTGACAGTATTCCCTTTTTTTTTCTTTATTTGGGATTTATACAGGAGGCCAATTGAGAATTACGCTAACGGTACAGGGGCCTCTTGCCAGAAGATTATCTTTGGTACCAAAACGCTAGAAAGCACCGGATAAATGTCCACGTGGCACCACAGTTTTCGGACGTTCTCACATCGGGAGCCACTCTACAGTCGTAGCACGTCCATCAGGATCTTCCATTCCCATTTTCAACACAAACAAAGCAAACAAACCACTCATTCTCTTAATAATCCATGGCTTCAACAAACTACACATCTCTGTGTTCTTCTTCACTTGTACGAAGAATCATTTCCCCGAAGCAAAACCAGTTGCTTTGTTCTTCGTTCAATCTAAACCAATTTACGAATCACCCATTTATGAGTAGCAGTTTCTGCAATTCCCACCCGTTAAATACTCCATCTTTGGTGCTCAAGGCTTCCCAAACAGAAATTGAAGGCAGTGGAGAGGAGAAATATGAAAAGTATGAGGTCGAAATAGTGAAGCCATATGGGCTGAAATTTGTCAAGGGGAGAGATGGCGGAACATACATTGATGCAGTTGAACCGGGAGGATCAGCTGATAAGACTGGAATGTTCACTGTTGGTGATAAAGTTATTGCCACCAGGTGTTTGTTAAAATTCCACTTGTTCTTATGTGTTTCTTTCCCTGGTATTACTACGTCTTATACATTGATTAGTGGGGAGCGAACGAAATGGGACTGGTAGGATCAAACCAGTTTTTATTCGGGGGAACTTTATTCCTTTTATTGATACTGCTCTTGATTTACGAGATGATTTAGCTCTGTTAGTTTAGTAGTTATATGGGACGTTTTGTTTTTAGGAGCTGCATCTGTCTAGGGGTGGAATCGAGACAGCCTAATGCCCTAATAAATTCATGCTAGGCTCGAGTTTGGCTCATTGACGTTTATATGTTGGGCTCAAATGAGATCCATGCTTGAATGCTCAATTCAAGTCCGAATTCAAACTAAAAATAAATTTTCTATTTTTGGAACTATTAAATATTATATTCATACATATAAATAAATAAATAATATACAATATTTGTACGTCATCATTCTCATTTGTTTTTGTTTCTCTCTGATTCACGAGAATTCTACTTCCTATGTTATTACCAATTAAAATTTAAAATATACAAATATATATACAGATATAAATATATATAATATGTGTGTGTGTTTATTTATTTATTTATTTATTTATTTATTTATTTATTTATTTATTTATTTATTTATTTATTTATTTATTTATTTATTTATTTATTTATTTATTTATTTATTTATTTATTTATTTATTTATTTATTTATTTATTTATTTATTTATTTATTTATTTATTTATTTATTTATTTATTTATTTATTTATTTATTTATTTATTTATTTATTTATTTATTTATTTATTTATTTATTTATTTATTTATTTATTTATATAAATATGCTATGGCTCGCGATCCCACGAGATAAAAGAAATTGAGCTCGAGTTTGGCTCGATTGCTTAACGAGCCGGTTCGTGTTCAGCTCGAGTTCAAGTTTGACCGAATTCGAGTCAAGCTTTGACCGAGCGGCTCACAAGTAGCTCAAGAGCGGCTTGACTCGTTTGCTCCCCTACATCTGTCCATGGGTTCATATACATTGATGTTTGGTAAAAGGAAGCTTCGCTACGTGCAGTAAAATAGTTTTAGATTTCTTGAAGAGTTATAGTTGCTAGTTCATGCTTTGTCCCTTGCCTGACAAATTTTATGGCTGCACATTGATCTTGGTTGTGGTTTTGATAGTCAGTTACGATAACTTGTAAATACCACAACAGTTGTCTTGCATGAATCGTCATCTTATTGAATTGGAAAAGAGTGTGATTAGAACAGTGGAAAACATGTCCAGTGCAGTGTTTGGAGATGACATATGGCCTTCTGCTGAATATGGAAGAACAATGTATACAATTCGGCAGAGATTAGGCCCTTTGTTCATGAAAATGGAGAAGAGATATGGTGAGTTAATTCTTCTGAATGGTTTGTTGATTTAATTAGTTAATTGATTATTACATTTAGTTGGTTGGAAAGAATGTGATGGTAGAAAACTATATATGAATACACGATTCAACTAAAGGTATAGCTATTATATTCTATGACTAACAAATAGAGTTGAATTAGTAAAACAAGAATCAGTCCTCCCTTCCCATCCTTTCCAAATTCCGTAACCAAACAAGTCCTATTAGGTTCCTTCTGTCTCTTACGCTTTTTCAGGGAAGATGGATAGTATGGGTGAGTTGTCAGAAAAGGAAATTATTAGACAGGAAAGGAATGCCGGTTTCATCAGTGATAGGGTGAGAGAGATTCAGGCAAGTACTTTACTTCAAGTGCACAACCTAAATAAAATCATCCAGAAATTTTGTTGTTTTTCTTTTCACTGGTTTCTCTGTATTGATTTTGAGTGGTATGTTTGATATCAGTTTACAAATGCAATGAGGAAAAAGGAACAGAAAGAGCGCAGAGGAATGGATCTTCGTGAAGGACTTCATCTATACAAGTAAGTGCTGTTGTGATTGCCAATTTCCTATCCATTTTATACTATCTGTTATGTTACTTGAGTGCCACCTTGGGACAGGTAACCTTTGAAAATGAAGGTGCAAAGTGTAATTTTATTTCATTTCAGTCAAGATAGTACTCCATAACTGTTTGACGGACTGATCTTGAAGAAAGACAGCCCTCATATTCTGCTCGCCACTTTAGACAGGACAGACCAACCTGTTCTTTGGTGTTTAATAAGTCTCTCCCATCAAAATTTATTAGGGAAAATGGAAACTAATAATCCAACCTTTTAGCAGTCTTCTTACAATAGTCCTACCTTTTCGTTATTCAGGAATAATCCAATCTTTGCGCCCCATCTTGATTCGGTGGTCCCTGCCCGGTTGATGACCTGCTATTCCAAGTTATGCAAAACATTATGTGACCATAAGGTGAGATTTATGGTATAATATTTTACAAAGATAAGAAAATAACTTAAAATAGTAGGTCATCAACCAGGCAGGGACCACCGAATGAAGATGAGGCGCAAAGGTTGGATTATTCTTAAATAACGAAAAGGTAGGACTATTGTAAGAAGACTGCTAAAAGGTTGGATTATTAGTTTCCATTTTCCCAATTTATTAACATACGTTTATATACCAGGACTCAAAAACGGTACCCTCAAAGTAATATGTTTCATCATATTTTCAAGGGACAACTATCAATTAGGTCCTCATACTATCACCAATCCTTCAATTAAACCCTCCCACTTGTAAATCATCCAATTAAGTCTACGTAGTTCTAAAAAGCACTCAAATCGTCGTTTTAGGTGGCCACCCACCGGTAAACAAGTTAGTTGTTGATGTGGAAGCATACGTGGATTTTTGTAACCCCTGTGGACTGTCCATGTGGCATTTGAAATATTTTTAAATTTTTTAGTTGATCTTTTGAGTCTTTACCCTTTTTGTTTTATTTATTTATTTCCCTTTTTTTGTCTGGTACGACATCCTCCTTCCTCATCTTCTTGGCCGGCAACTTCACATTCTCTGTAATCAACCTCCGGCCACCATTTCACCACCAACCCTCTTGTAAGGTAGTCCCCCTTCCCCCCTATCTCTCTGTTTTCTTTGTTCTTCATGGCCTCTGCCCCCTTTTGTGCATAGCAACCAACTTCCATCGTCATTGTCACTCTAAGCCCGTCCGCCGCCACTTGTTTGTTTCGTCCCTTGGGTACTTCATCTGCTTCGCTGCATGGATATCTTCGGTGATATGCTCATCTGGTTCTCCTGGTTCAAGTCTGACCTCCTCATAGATTGTACTGTGAAGTTGTGTCCCGTGATCCCATCTTCTTCTTCTTCTTCTTCTTCTTCTACTATCGAATTGGAGGGATGGTGGTGAAGAAATCTCCTTCCCCTCGTTTTCCTTGTAATCCAGCTGAAAAAGGCGGTGTCACTGAAGAAAGTTGGTTCCGGCCATGATGCAGGTGAAGGTTAGGGTTCTGCCATTTGGCCCATTTCTAAAGAAAAGCTCTAGGTAATTTTTGTTTTGGAGAAGAAAGCATAGCTCTAGATAATTATTATGCATTTAGATTTCTGATTTTCAAAATAGTACTCCGTATATGTTTATGCTCAAAAAGAAAAAAAACGTGTTTCTTCTATGGTGGCCTGATAGTACAATTTGGGTGATTTGGGTGATTTTGGGTGGGCTGATAATTTCAAAAAAAGAAAACATTAAAGCCACATAAGTGTACAAGTCAGCAGCTACCGGGAAAACTGGCAAGGAACCGGCAAAAAAGAAAATTTGGGTGATTTTGTATAGTTCAGGGAGTTAATTGGGTGTTTTGGTAGTACGAGGACTCAATTGACTTTTTCGCTATACTACAAGGGGGCTATTTGAGAGTTTTCCCTATTTTCAACAGTAGCATGGTGATGTTTTGTGTATAGATATACAAACTTACATTTCTATTTTACATTTGTAGCTAAGAATGCATAGAATATCTAATATTGCTTTAGGACATCTGGAAAGATTTCCAACTGTTTAGCGGTACTTTCACTAAAAATGCATACAATTTTGTATTCTGTGATGTTTTGTTTTCTGAGATGTTGGACATCTGATGATCCTACTTTCTTTTCTGTCTCTTGTTTTGATGAAGGAGTGGCAAATATGAAGAAGCACTAGAGGCATTTGAGTCTGTATTAGGATCAAGACCAGATCCAAATGAAGCTGCAGTAGCAAGTTATAATGTCGCATGTTGTTATTCTAAGCTTAATCAGGTACTTTTCATAAACTAAATTAATATCTAGTTTAGTGTTATTTACGTGTAATGATATGCTCTGTAATTCATAAATACTTTCCATCCAAAAGAGTCATCTTTAAAAAATGTCCCAAAAAAAAGAGCGGTTTCAAAAGTCAGCTTTCATTTTTAAATAAAAATTACATCAAGTGGCAGCTGGGTTTAGAGCCCATTTCGTAACATTGAAATTTGGGCTGATTGTGCTAAAAATGGTTAAGTTCTGGCTGAATTCTCCGTATCTGAAAAAATATGAATAATATTTTCTTTTATTAAAATAATGAAAAAGTAACGAAAATGGTCCTCTATAGTAACTTCAGTCAATTCAGTTAGAAAAGTAACTCCAACCTTACTTTTTTTTTATTATTATACTTTTCAAAGCTCGAATTCAGAAGTTACGTGTTTGACAAAAAATTGTCTGATAAGCAGAAAACATGGGTCATCAAACGGACTCTTAGTCAATTTCCCCACACAAGCTTGTACTGTGATTGGGTTCACAAAAAAGTTATACATTGCCGAACATGACTCGTATTTTTTGGGATGGGGGATTTATATTTTAAAGGGCTATGATATTTGTACGCCCTTAATAACCACCTTCACTCATATATAACTCCCGCTGTGATTCTTATTCTGACATACACAAATTTGTGTGAGTACGGGTAAACTTTTCTCAAAGAGCAGAACATCTTGTCAGTATGAATGGTAGTGTAAAAGGGGTACAACTCTGAAACAGCTTTTTTTTTATATTTTAGTCCAGCTATTCTACTACTCCCCTCGTCCCAGCTGGTTCTCACCTAGGCTGGAAACAGGCTAGGCCGCTAGGCCAAGCTTTTGCGAAGTCGGGCCTGTCTGGCATGAAGCCTGTTTCATAGGCTTGTTAAGAAAAAAAGTCAACAATTTTAAAAATAAAAAAGTTGCAAATTCTTTTAACTCGATATCAAATTTATTCCCCAAATTAGTCACTAAAAAACCTATTACGGAGTAATACATTATTTTTTTAATGTCTAAAATGGACACATCTTGGCGGAATGGTGAGGTAAAACAAGTAATAAGGATCAAAAGGGAATGCTATAAGAAATTGGGTAAAAGTTGGAGCGACGAGAACATAGAGGAGTACAAGGAGGCTAGAAGACGAGCAAAGAAAGCCGTAAAGGAAGCAAGAGGAAAAGTGAACAAAGAATTGTATGCAAAATTGGACTCTAAGTAAGGAGAAAAGGATATTTACAGACTTGCTCGTCTTCGTGACCGTAGGACTCAAGATATCGGAAAAGTTAAGTGTGTAAAGGATGTCGATCAAAGGGTACTAGTGTTGTCAATCCCATATAGCGGAGCGGAGCGGCGAGCCCCAAAAACGCTATAGCGGTATAGCGGATAGTGGGATGACCGCTATTTAGACTACTTTCAAATATAATAGATAAGTAACTACTAGAAGCTTATGTAATACATACATATGAAAAAAAATACTCTTTGCCTTGCTGGAAGCATATGTTTTAACTATGCTAAGGTACATCTAAGGTCTGCAGAGAGACTATTGAAACTAGATGGTTTACCCACCTTAATTACTTAGATATACTCCTTAGTTTCATACTTTCATGAGCAAAACATAAGTTTCATACTTTGAGCAAAACATAAGTTGCTAATAATAACTAAAACATCTTAAATCAAAACATTGAGTCAAAAACATACTTTCGAGATGTTTTCCTGTGGGCTTAAACAAGACAGTAGACTGACTAGACTCCATACGAGAAGAAGAAGAAGAAGAAAAGAAGACTGCAGGTCTGCAGCAAAGGTTGGAGAAGAAGAGTTGCAGCAGGAGATATTACTGAAGGCAGAGGAGGGCAGCACGTGTCGTTCTTGGAGGTGAGGCCATTGCAAAGCAGAAGATGGTCGTTAGAGCCATCGCAGAGGTGCAACGGACTATTTTCAAAAGATGGCTTCGGTTTGAGCTTTTGGTAACCTTCAACTTACGTCTATGGGCTTTAACTAGGTTAATATTTTTGTTTTAAAAGTCTAATTTAACCCCTTTTATGTCTGCGGTTAAAAATTAACGCTAAAATTTTGCGCAGTACTCTTCACCATAAAAAGCGCCGTGTTAGCGGCCGCTATTATCTTTCGCGCACCTCTGCGATAGCGGGCGCTATGGCCGCAACTCCCAAACGCCACGCGAGAGTCTTTCTTGTAGCGCCTAACCTGTCTGCCGCACCGCTTTTCCGCTATTGCGCGCTATTGCGCCGCTATTCACAACACTGAGGGTACTAATGGAGGACGGGGAGATAAAAGAGAGGTGGAGGTCATACTTTGATTCACTATTCAACGGGAACAAATCGCAAGATATCGATGAATTGACCATACCAGATTTTTGGTAAATCGTGATTTAGTGAGAAGGATCCAAACAACGAAAGTTAAAGAGGCTCTGAAGAAGATGGGGCGAAAGAAAGCAGTGGGTCCAGATGGCATACCGATCAAGGCTTAGAGAAGTTTGGGAGAGAGAGATGTCGAGTGGTTAACAAGTTTCTTTAACATGATTTGGAGAAACAACAAGATGCCAACGAATTGGAGAAACAATATCCCCTTATTCAAGAATAAAGGTGATGTACAAGAAAGTGTCAACTATCGAGGGATTAAACTTATGAGTCACACCATGAAACTTTGGGAGTGAGTGATTGAGCAAAGACTTCGAAGAACTGTGAAGATTTCAGAGAATCAATTCGGTTTTATGCCTGATCGCTCAACAACTGAGGTCATTCACCTTCTTCGGCAACAAGGATCTGCATTTGATGTTCATTGACTTAGAAAAGGTTTATGATAGGGTACCTCGAGAAGTTCTTTGGTGGGCCTTAACTAGAAAAGGTATATCACGTAAGTATATCAGCGTCATCGATATGTATGAGGATTGTACTACAAGTGTCCGTACTAGTGTAGGAGGACTGCGAAGTTCCCTATTATTATCAGAGTGCACCAAGAATCGGCTCTGAGCCCTTTCTTATATTCCATAGTCATAGATGAACTTACAAAGTCAATTCAAGACGGAATACCGTGGTGCATGATGTTTACCGACGATATTGTATTAATTTATGAGACGCAATCATGTCTTAAAGCAAAGTTGGAAGTATGGCGAGAAACATTGGAGAACAAGGTTTCAGACTAAGTCGGAGCAAGACAGAGTACATGGAGTGCAAGTTTGGTAGAGGTAGAAGCAGTGGTAATAGCGGAATTACTCTAGATGGTAAGGAGATACCGATCAGTGATATGTTTCGTTACTTGGGCTCCATAATTCAGAAGGACGGTGAGTTAGATGGAGATGTATCCCATAGAATCAGTACAAGGTGGATGAAGTGGAAGAGTGCATCATGATTTCTATGCGATAGAGGTATACTTACTAGACTGAAGGGTAAGTTTTATAGGACAACAATTAAGCCTGCATTAGTGTATGGCGTAGAGTGTTGGACGGTGAAAAAGATGAGTGTGGCGGAGATGCGCATGTTGCGTTGGATGTCTGACATACTAAGAAAGACTGCGTGAAAAATGAGACAATCAGACAAATAGTGGGAGTAGCACCTATTGAAGACAAGATGCGGGAGTCGCGCCTGCGGTGGTTTGGTCATGTGCGTAGAAGACCGAGTGATGCACCTGTCAGACGAGTTGAAATGTGTGGAGAATAGGCTGTGAAGAGAGGGAGAGGAAGGTCCAAACAGACGTGGTTTAGGGGAGTTCAAAGTGATATGCTTCTTCTTGGGTTAGATGAGGGTATGGCTTTGGAGAGAGCAAAGTGGAGGGCGGGTATTCTTGCGGAGGAGTGATCTCGTATTATCTTTTCCCCTCATTCTTTTTTCTTGTTTTCTTATCCTTTTATCCTTATATAGTTATATATACATATACATTATTTTTATCTTTTTTATTTTATCATTTTTAGGTATATTCATTTCTTTTTATATCATCTTTTTCATAATAGTTTATCTTTTATCTTTATTTTTTTTATTTTCCTTTTGGTGGTGATATCATGTATCGATTCATGTTAACCGACCCCAATATTTTTTGGGACTAAGGCTTGGATGTTGCTGTAAGCCTAGGTTTAATACGTTGAAATGTAGGGGGTGTTTGGCAACTAGCTGTTGGCGGTTGGCTGTTGCTGATTGTGTTAGCTGTTTGATGTTGGCTGATTCTGTTGGCTGCTTTGATTAGCTGATAGTCTTAGCGGTTTATATAATAATGTTTGGTTAAATGGCTATTTAAAATTAGCTGATAAATTGTTATATGACTTTTAAGGACATGGATATTTTTTTTACAAACTACTTTTACATACGTATATTATACAAGTATTTCGTACATGTCAACCATGTTATTAATTAGAACAAGAACGTAACTTACACCATTGTTGTCAATGTTCTAAAAGACGTTAGACGCTAGTCGGGGAGTAGTTGGAGATATATAAATTGCATTTTTATCTATATTTTTGCATAAATATGATAAGTAATGTTGTATTTTTGTGTGTATTAAATACATATATACATATACATTAACAAACATGAATGATAGAATAATCACATTTAATCATCCGTAGTTCATGATACTAATCACTTAACTTCATTATGTTATAAATAAATATAAATAATGATAAAATGTAGGTATATATACAAACATATATAGTTTTATCTTAAGTTACAACTTCATTTCTTTGCTAAACTTAAAGTAAGTATATTGTTTAGAAAATTAAAATTAAAAAGTAAAGTAATTTTTGGCGAATCTAGACGGCCTAGGCGGGCCAGGCGGCCGATTAGGCGCTCTAGGCGGGCAACTACGCGCTATAGGCGGCCGACTAATTCACCTAAACGGCAAACCAGTTAGTCTGATTCGCCTAGACGAAAATCGGGGAGCCCGACCACCGTCTAGCGTCTAGGCGGGGACTAGTCGGGCGCCTAGACCGATTTTTAAAACAGATTGTTGTTAATTAGTAAAAAAATCGTCATACAAGACACAATTTTTTAATGAAAATAATTTATAGACGAATTGTATTACAAGATGGGTTTTCATGTTTCTCAGTGCATCATTACAAAATCATACGGAGTACGAAGTATTTTTTGGACACGGGCTCAAAAAAGATTTGATCAATAAAAATGCAATTAACACTAGAGATTTGATTAAGAGGAATTGTGATGATGACGTTTGCCCACCGCCTCCTATTATGGTAGATCGAAGATGTCAAGCAAGGAAAATGTGAGAAGGGAAGTGACAGACTATGGGCAGAATAGGAATAATATGGTGGATAAAGAAATGGCCGAGAGGAAACGCTACATATTATGGCGTTTTGAAATTTTGGCTGTTTACAAAAAACAACCAAGTTAGCAAGTCCTTAACCAAACACTTCAATAGCCGATTAAAGTGGTCAAACAGCCAATTAGCAGTCAAAACAGCCAAAAATTGGCTGATAAGCTGTTAACCAAACACCCCGTAATCTGGCAAAGTGACCTGAAAGTTAGCAGCAAAGACCACTGGCGGATAAAATGTCAAGTACTTGGTATGAGCATACTCGAATGCGAGAATGAGATACTAGTAATACTCTGTATACTGAATATATAATTTTTCCTTTTTAAAATTCTTGCTTACAGTCTCGTTTTGTAGAATAAAGTTTCTTTCCTTTGGAACTATCTAATACATTGTGTTACTAAACAGTCACCCACTAAATGGAAAAACACCGTCTACAAACCACAACTCTTTCAAACCAAAGAGCATGTTTTGGAAATGCATCAATTTAGGCATTGTTTTTTCCGAATTGCTAACCCAAAGAACCGATCTACCACAGCAATATTAGCCCGGCACATTTTTGTATAAAATATGAAGTTTGACATCATTTGTCTGGCCTTACAATAGATTGAAGCTGGATTGTCTGCCTTGGAGGATGCAATGAATGCGGGATTTGAAGATTTCAAGGTAAACTCTAGCGGTTATCAAAATCCACTGTCAACTAGAATGTGAGTAGTAGTCTATTGGAAAAGGCTGAAATTGTGGCTGATATTGAAGTTGCTGAATTATGAAAAGTACTTCGTATATATTTAAAATATATGCTATTGATAAAATAAAGGAAAAAGATGTAAAAGGCAAAAATGAGCATCGTGAGCACTGAGCAACTTCGATGTTAGCATTATTAACCTATTATGTGGGTAAAAACCTAGCTGTCAACTGGTAAAAATGATAAGCTGGAAAAAATGGCTACCAAGTGGCCACTAAATCTGATTCTAAATCATTTATTATGCCCACAGAGAGTTAGAACAGATCCTGATCTTGCCAATCTCAGGACATCACATAACTTTGAATCCCTTCTTAAGAAATTCGACGAATCATTCATCAATGAAAGCGCAATCCATGCGCTTAAATCCCTGTTTGGGTTCAACAAAAAGTAGAGCCAGCTGTTTGGATAGGGCTCCTGCTTAGAGATATAGCTGAGCATGTATATGAATCCTGCAAGAAAATTGTTGTTATTTTGTAACTCTATGCTGCAACTGTACTTGATTAAATTTCATGTACTTGTATTAGATGAAGGTCTGAAAGAAATTATGGAGTTATAAATTATCAACAGGGATGTCTCATTGTTCTTTACTTGTAGGCTGTAGCATGTCACCCTAGCGAAGCATGTAGTTTTTTAACGCTTCACTATAGATTATTCTATCCGTCCTTAAATCGTTATTGACTTGTTGCTGCTTATTAAAAAAAAATCGTCATTGCTGTTTGAGTTTTTTTTCTGTTTGCTTTTAGAACATAAATTATTGCACTTTCAAGAAAACATATATTGTGCTACAATTTCTTTTAGTTTTGTTCCTCTATACTCAACTAAGGGAGTGTTTGCATTTGATTAAAAAAATGCTTTTCAGCTTTTGGCTTAAAAAAAGTTAAAAAGAGTGTTTTCAAATGACAGCTTCTGCTTAAATTAATCACTTAAAAGCTAAAAGCTGGAAGCAGGTGGAAGGGTGCTTTAAACTGCTTTTCACTTTTTCTATTACACAAAAAGTACTTCTTTTACCAAACACTACCAACTTTTACTTTTTCAGAATCACTTTTTCTTCAAACACTACCAACTTTTACTATTAATCACTTTTCCCAAAATCACTTTAAAAAATCACTTCTTTGAAGTTGAAGCAATTGCAAACACTCCCTAAATTGTAGGGAGTACTATGTTCATATGTTGTACTCATATCATGTCATAAATAAATGAAAAATGACAAAAATAAGACTTTGAGCTTATGATTAGACAAAAATAGGATCAATTTTCGTTTAAGACAAAAAGCAATTATAGTGATATCAAATGACTCAAATGCCCCTAAAAGAAAGTACCCAATTTTTCTCTGTGCTACTCAAGTACTCATCCTCAGCAAATGAAAGTACCGCACTTGATCTGCGCTTACCTTTCGATGGTGCTCTTTGAAGAAGCGTGTTGTCCACCTCTAGCAAGTAGCAATGACGGTGAATGCAATGCTCTTCTTTGATGATGTCAGTGATAAGGCTCTTCATGTTGGTGGCATCTGTGAAACTCTCCGGCAATGTGCATCATCTTCATGTTGCTCCTTGTCTTCTTCTTCATTTTAGTCTTCTCCTTTTCTACTTACGATTGGGTTTGGAAAATAGTGATTGTGTACAATGATTGAGGTGAGTTTTTGTTTGACGTTTAATGGTGATATCAATGGTGGTTGGCAACAACAATGATTAGGGTTAGAGGTGTGGGGGCGATCACTGAGTGGAGAAAATTGAAGGGGATGGGAGACGTGTCGGGGGTGGCGGTGTGCCATTGTCAACTGGACGTAAGCCGGGACGGCGATTGAGGGGTTGTTATGATCATCACTACACAACGATGATCTCTAGCCAACGGTGGTCACTGCTTGGCAGGGGCGGATCTCTTCTATGCAAGTCTTCTATGCAAGGGTGTTTATGTGAACACCCAAAAGTAAAAAAACAATGGTAATATATATATAGAAATTAGAGTAATAATTTATTTATTAGTATTTTAAAGAGAAAATGTGTAATTTTGAACACCCAAATTGTAAACACTAGATCCGTCACTGCTGCTTGGTGGTGATGGCTGTTGACAGAGTAACTATGAGGGTGGAGATATAAATCATAAAAGACATTTTTTAAAAGTTGCAAAATTAGGACCCTCATATAAATCATAAAAGACATTTTTTAAAAGTTTTAAAATTAGTCCTAATTTTGCAATTGTAGGGCTTTTAAATCTTATCATTCAATAAAGGCTTATTAACATTCACAATCTTTTATATTCTTATGATCTAGAGCTATCCTATATTTTTTTTAACTCCAGGGGGGTCTGGGGAAGGGGGCCTGGGGGCCTGGAGTAATCAGGGCTGAAACTCACTCCATTGAGTTTCAAACCATTATGTGTCTAGCGGGATTCGAACTCGAGACCTCCCACTAGACACGCTATCTTAGTAACATTAAAGATAATGGACGTGTTTGGCATTTAATGGTTAACTGTTAGCGGATTATGTTAGAGGGTTGTCAATAACGGATTCAGACAGCGGGTTTGACTAGCGAATAAGTTAGCGGGTTATCAAAAGATGTTTGGTAATTTAGTTGTTTGGTCATAAAATTAGTAGAAAACGTCATATTTTAAAACGATAACTCAAAACTCTTCTATTTGCAGCGTTTCTGACCAAAACGCTAGTGCCGAACAACTATTTCAATTCAGAACTTCATAAATTTCAGCCACAGCCAATGCAAACATTCAATCAGAACTCTATAACAATGAAGAGGTCGTTTGGAACCACTGTTTTTCGGCTTATCAATCAACTTTTTCACCAAACACGTAACTTTTGCTTTCGCGCGCTGAATTGTGTAATAAGCATAAAAAGTAAGGTTAGAGTTACTTTTCTGGCTGTATTGGCTGGAGTTACTGTAGATGACCATTTTAGCTATTTTTACGTATAATTTTTTCTTTATTTTATTAATAAAATATATTTTTAAAATAATTTTTTCTTAAATCAGCATAATCAGCCAATGCAGCCAATGCAACCACTTCAGCCAGAACTTCAGAAATTTCAGCAGAAACAGCCAAATCAGCCGATTTTCATGCTACCAAACGGGCTCGAAATCAATCAATTCAGTCAATTTGAATTATATCAAACGGGCTCTTAATTTTTACGTCTGGGCTCACTCACACAAAGTTAATACGCCAACAGGATTCTGAGCAACTTTTTTTTGAAAGCAACATAGGCTCTGTTTGCAAGCCCTTAATTTAAGTGATTGTGGTTTTTTAAGAAAAAATCACGTATTTTACCAAACACTACCAACTTTTACTTTTCTCGGCTTTCGTGTAGAATCTATTTTTTACTTTTTCTATTACACAAAAATCACTTATTTTACCAAACACTACCAACTTTTATTACTAATCATTTTTTCCCAAAAAATGTTTTTATTTAAACGCAATCACTTGGAAACAGAGCTTTAATACTTGTATATTCGGGATTACTACGGAGTATTTGGTTTTATTGTACTACGTAGTACTCCCTCCCTCCCAAAATTATTGTCCCGCTTTCCTTTTCGGTCCGTCCCGAAATTATTGTCCCGTTTCTTTAAATTCCTTATTTGGTAAAGAAATCTATACTCCATCCGTCCCTGAATTATCTTCAAACTTTCCTTTTTCGTCCGTCCCAAAATTATCTCCTCTTTCCCCTTTTAGCAAAGAATTTGTGGTTCACAACCATTCTTACACATTCTTACACATTTATCTCTCCTCTGCACAACTCTCCACCACACAAATCTCACTATCTTAATAAATGTGCCCAGCTGAAATGAGAGAAAAATTAGGGAGGGAGGGAATACCAAATAGTGTCAAACAGTGCAAAACAGTACAAACAGTGTCGATACAGTGTCATTTTCTTAATCTGTGTGAAAAACTAAACGGGACTATAATTTTGGGACGGAGGGAGGGAGTACTAGACTATTTAATCTTAATACGCCGTACTTGCGAAATGTCAGCAAGCACGGGTCAGAAAGCAGCCCATTTCAACACGTTCGGCGAAATGTCTCTCAGAAATCTTTCATCGCAACCTGCGATCTAACCAAATCCAAAGCTGCAGCTAGGGGTGGTTCGGTACGGTATACCTTATATTTTTTCTCATACCTTTGCCGTACCAAAACTTTCGGTATGCAAAATTTGCATACCTTTACCTTACCGAAGTTTTGGTATACCGCATTTCGGTATACCGAAGTTTCGGTTCGGTAACGGTACGGTATCGGTAAATTACCGTGCATGTCTCCCAATACAAAAAATTATCATAGACTAACGAAATATACTAAATCATTATTTAAATGTTACGAAATACAATTAATAATCTATTGATGTCAATTCAACATTGAACAATAATTATTAGTATATTTAAGCGATTCAACATGCCACATATTAAAAAGTAACACATTCTCCTAAAATAACTTGAACAATATAGATATAATTAAATCAATAGTGATCTCTAACAAAAATAAATAAAACTATTCAAACAACATGGATATAAAATCAATTATTCCTAATATGATATTGTGTATTTAGTCATTTTTATAATTTTTTAAAAATTGAATAAGACTTTCGGACAAAGTTGTGTGTCTCGACTCGCGGAATCCCTATGTGGATACACTTGTCACATAAGTGTATCTCTCTTCACTCGTCAGCTACTTAGCGGCCCAGCCATCACGACTTGCAAGCTCTTGGAACAAGATGAACTTGTTTCTTGACATTTGTACATTACTCATTAGTCATTAAGGTTAGCGTAGTAGAAGCCTATAAGGTTATAGTGGGTTTGAGAAATTGGGCATTTATTTTTGTATCTTTGTATTTCTAACCAACTTAAGTATTAATTTTGGGCTTCAAAATTGTAATGGATTTCTACAATATATTAGAATTAAAAGTAATTGTTGAGTAGAGAGTCGGTACGGTATTATACCGGTATACCGCGGTATTTGAAAACATTTACCGTTACCGTACCAAAATAGATCGGTACGGTATGATACCGTACCGAAAATGACGGTATACCAATATTTCGGTATTTTCCGGCATTTTTCGGTACGGTAAGTGCGGTATACCGATATTTCGGTATTTTTGCCCACACCCCTAGCTGCAGCAGTCCCTAATTTTAGAAAGAAATTGGGAAGAACATGCCTTTCAACAGCACAGTGTTGGTTTCGGTGGCGACGATCTTCGCCGAGATCTGGCAGCGCGTCGCCTGCCTGCCAGAGCACATCCCCGGCGACCAGCTATTAGATCTGGTAATCTGTTTTCCTTCCCGGCAGCTTGGCCGAGTGATCATATGCGTCTGGGATTTCCTTTGCTTCTCAG